GGTTTTATATCGATTGATTGTTCTGTCTTTTGATCAACTGATCGACAGGTAAATATATCAATTAGTGGCAAACTGTAAACAAAGAAACAACAATAAAAACATGTAAAAATGGGAATGAGAGAGACACCCATTGAGAGAGGGTGAGAGTCTGGGCAGTGCTGTGCGACAAGGCACAGTGACTGGGCCTGTGCAGGGGCTGTCCCAGTGCTCGTGGCTGGCTCACCACTGCCACCTGCAGGCCCCCAAGTGTCTGGACAGTGGGTAGTTTGAAGCGACTTGGAGCTGTTGACAAGACAGTAAGAACAAAGCAGAGGAGTCCGACGAAAGCCAGCCTGAAAACAGCACGAGTCTATCCAGACACCACTGTCTTGTCTAGCAAGTTCCAGAATGCCACAGCACTGAGAAGGATTTCAAGAGCCACGGGCCATTCGGAGCCATTCCTTGAAGCATAGGAAGATGTTACACAGACCTCTGGGTCGCTCCCACTTACCTGGAGCCAGCGGGTCCTAACCAAGTAGTTCCACCTGAGCAAAGTCAAATAAAATACTGGGCAATGGGCAAGCGAGAGAATCATGTCTCACTGCACGCTGGGCGCTCTCAGGCATCTGCACTGACTTAAGGAAAATGGCTGGTGTGTTTGGGAAAGGAAGCCAGGTGACCTTCATCTACCCCTTTCCTTACGTTTGTTGATCTGTCCTGGTTCTGTGCTTTAGCCCAGCTCATTTAACCGAGCCCCAAGTCAGCACCAATCAGAGTGATGACAGCCTACATTTGGGGAGCTCTGTCTGGGTCTTGGGGTTCCCCACCCCCTCCATTCAATTACCAAACACTCAGACTACAACATGTCACAGCACACCTCTCCTGTCTCCCCTGCTGTCCCCTCAGCAGTGTATTTCAGTAGAGCCACCCCATTCTGTCTCTGGTGAACCCTTTCACCCCCGCCCCTTCCCAGTTCTTGTATGCATAAATTAAAAAAATAAAATTTTTTTTTTAAGATTTATTTTTTATACAAGAGCAGGGGTACAGGCCAGATGCGCAGGAGGGTGAGAGGACTCACCAGAGACAGAGTGGGGAACAGAACAGGCAGACTGACGAAATACACTGCTTAGGGGAGCAGCAGTCAAGACAGGAGAGGTCTGCTCGCCATGTAGGTTGCTCTGAGGCTGGTGGGGATCGAACCAGCACTGCAGAGGCTGTGGACAGCTTCACAGCACTGCGCTCAACCGCCTGCACCACCAGGGAGGCCCCCCAAAATTAAATCTTTTATTTTTTTTAAAAAGAACACAGTCGGGGCTCTTTTCGTGTCAGATAGTATGTTCAGCAATGCAGACTAAATCATGGAGTCACCCTCTGATTTATTTCATCCACTGTGGAGCCAGAAGCAGGTAGACTACTGCTGCCTGGATTTTGTTAGTTGTCTATTCTGTGAAGTGAATCCCCGACTTGCGCTGTTTCCTGAGAGGCTGGCAGGAATCTGTCAGATTGCACAGTACCTGGGTGGCACGGGAGATGTCTAGGATGACACAGGACTTACTAGAGTTAGGGGCCAGAAGTTGAGAATTCTTTATTTTAAAGCCCAGAGTTGAAGGGCACGGATCTGTGTAATAGGTGGTGTGACAGCGCCACCTGCTGGTGACACTATTTCACTCCAGACCAGCCCAGCTAAGTAGGTGCGTGGATACCTAAGCCCTCCGACTACCAGGGGGAGACTCGCAGGTAAACAAATCGTTGTAGAGTGTGTGATTTATTGTCTGAATGTCAGATTTCTCTGCTTTTGTGCTGACAAAGGAAAGTGTAAGGGAAGACTCAGACACCCGGATCGTTCACCAGTGTTCACAGTGGGTCCCAATGGTTAGAACCTGAACTCAGGGCTTGGGGTGCCCTAGGCCTGCTGGAGATGTCGGCATCAGTCTGGGCCTGGTGGAGTCATGAATCTGGGTGTGTTTCACTGTGCTGCTTCCTGGGTCTTAGGATGTTATATAAGTAAGAAAAGACAGTCCTTGTATATTGGCCCTACGTTGTGCATTTCCCCACAGCAGGCTGGGCCCCAAGGCACTCAAAACCTGTGGGCACCAAAGCCAAATGTTCACATTTAAAACATATTGGATTGTTTCAAACACAGTTCAAAATAGCAGATTTTGAGCTATTTAAATCCAGCCTGTTTTGCATATCCTTAGAAATGCATCCAACACCAGCAACCAGAGAAAAGATAAACATTGTAGCTGATTGAAGACCCCTCTCTGCAGCTGCCCCTTGTTGCTTGCTCATCCAGAGCTTGCAGGAACTGCTCAGACCCCTCCTGCTAAACTCCTCCGATCAGTCTCTGCCCCAGGGGCTCCCTGGCCCCCCTGCTGCCATAGCTTTGGGAGGTCCCAGCCTGTGTGAGGTGCCCCTTCCTGTCTCCCGCAGGCAAACCTGCTAAAGCATTGCCCAAATAAAGCTGTGGTGCCACTCCCTCCTTATGCCTGACATCCTGCCACTTCTCTCCCTTGGTCAGTTTCAGAATTTAATCCCTTGAATTCACTGTACCCCACAACATGGTCTACTTCCTCTCAGGGAGAAAGAAAATGAGTGGTTGCTTGCTTAGCGCCTGGCCTGTCCTCTGTTTTCCTCTCTTGTGGCTTTTGCTTCTTTGCTGAAAACATGTTTCCCAAATATGGGTAACGAGGGTTTGGAGGCGCTCGTGCTCTGGGGGACCCTTTCAGAGGTGTTGGGGAGATGGGTCACAAGAGTGATGACCGCTCTTATGGGGGTGGGGGGCGCTATACGTGTGCTTTGCCTTTCTGGGGAACAGCTGCCCCAGCTGCAGGCAAAGGGGCTGGATCTTAGTTTGCACTGGAGTTTGGTCAAGGGCTGTGTATGTTCGTGGCCTCGCTGGTGGAATACGGGAACGGAAGAGCTACCTAGGGGAAGAGAGAGTCCGGCCGGTCCAGCATCCAGTGGAGAAAGGGCACTGGGGGATTGAGCTGAAAGTTGGTGGCTCAGTATTTAAAGTTTGTCAAATTTTCACACGCTTTCTAGGTGATTCCTTGTCCCCCTGATGCCTGAGTGTACAAATGTAGCATCTCCCCTCCCAGTAAAGGACAGGACGGCCTGCTGCTGTGCTGATTGCCAGCTCATGGGCTCTGTCATCTCCAACAATTATTAAGCTTCGGTTCCAGTTTCCTTCTCTGTAAGACAGAGGTAAATAACGCACCCATCTTGGCTTTGTTGTGCCGATTAAATAAGATCATCGTTCATTTTTTTCCTAACTGAGGCAGAATAATGAGAACTGAGAGGTCAGACATCAGAGCTAGACTGTTTGGGCTTAAATTCCAGCTTGAAAATTCACTTGTAGCTATGTGACCTTAGAAAAAGTACTTTTCTGTGTCTCTGTTTCCTCATCTGGGGCAATGGCATTCTCTCATAGGGTTTTTTAAATTAATGTGCTAATAAATTTAAAATAATTTAAAAGTTCTTATAAGAGTTTATTTTATTATAAAGTAAATAAGGTTCTTAGGACAGTGTCTGGTCTATGTCAACTAATATTATTTTACTCTGAATCACCTAACAGCTCAGATAACTCATAAAGTTTATTAATATACTATGAAGCATCAAGGCCTGTTTTCTGTTATCTTCCTTTTTGTATACAAGTTTACTTCTCACTTAAAGTCTTGCTTTGCTAAATTTAATACAGAGTTAGATCTTGATACTTGTAAGAAAAGTGCATTAGGGCCTCCCCGGTGGCGCAGCAGTTGAGCGCTGGGTTGCGAAGCTGCCCGCAGCCTCTGCGGCGCCGGTTCGATCCCCGGCTGCTCCCTGGCCACTGGAGGAGGGTCCCACATGGCGCGCTAGACGTCTCCTGCCGCCCGCTGCTCCCCTCAGCAGTGTACTTCGGTCCTTCTGCCTGCTCTGCTCCCCGCTCTGGCTCTGGTGAATTCTCTCACTCTCCCGCGCTTCTGACTGTACCCAGTGCTTGTATAAATAAATAAACAAATAAATCTAAAAAAAAAAAAAGAAAAGAAAAGAGCATTAGTAGACACAAAACCACTCAATATAAAGGAAAAAGGAAGCTAGCTCCCCTTTCTGTCAATTAGCCATGAGCTAGATTGTAAACCTCCCTGTCAGTCCTGGCGTCCTATGCAGCACGGAACAAATGGACTTTAGTGCGCTCCCCAGTGGCCACAGACCTTGCCCTGATGGGGTTTGTCACTATAGGAATCCCAGCGTGTTCTCAGAGCTGGCTGGAGCAGCAGAGGTGGCCTTCCTACAATTCTCTAGCCCCTTGTTACAGGGTAGGGAGGGGCCCAGACCCCACAAACCTGCCTGCTCTAAATAGGTTCTGCCATCTGCCACATTAACACAAAAACATGAGACTTTAATGAAAAGGAACTTTAATACAATTAGGAAACAACAGAGGAAAGGCTAAGAATCTAGTTTCTAAATCAAGCACCCAAAGTGACCCGGCCCCTCGTGGGTAAAAGTCCAAATGGGATCGGCCCAGAGCAAGGCCCCAAAGCCTGCCACAAGTCCAAAGCATCTGACCCCACAGAAAAGGGTCAGAAACAACCAGACAAGTCTGGAAGGAAAAGAGCAAAATCAAAATCAAGACAAAAACTGCCATTGTCACCTCCCCACGGGTCTCACCCACATCTGTGTCACCCAGTCCACGACCAAAAGGCAAGCGCAGTTTCTTCACGTGTCTCTCGGCTCCATGTGCCTCCTCCAGGTCTCCTCCTAGCTCCATCCTGCTTCCTTCCTTCCTCAGTCTCTTCTGCAGCTTCTTCTCTTCGCTCCACCCTCCTTTGGGTGGGGCAGGAAACCTGGAACTCCCCCCTTTTCTGGGGATCCCCCTGTTACACTTCGAAGAGAAGGGGGGTCCTTATCGTTAGCCTTTTGGGTCTTTTTCCTTTTCACATTCAGAATTTTGGAATGGGAGGCTTTGGGGCGGTCGACGATGTTCACATCTGTTAACGCAAACTCCGAAAACCGAGGAAAGGGTTTGGGGGGCCCGTCTGGGCATGGGTAGACATTTGAGCGCAGGTGGTAGGAATCCCCGGCCTCCAGCCCAGGCCGCGCGCCCTCGACGGCCGGGCGCGCGGAGGCGCGGTCACCCGCAGAGACGCCCCAAGGGCGCGCGGAGCGGGCGGCTCTCGGTCTCCCCCCGCGCGGCCATGAGCGCCCGCCGGGGCCCGCGCCTGCTGCGCGCGGCGCTCGCGCTCACACTCCAGCGCCTCCCGGCCCTTCCCGCGCGCGCAGAGGCTCGGGCCCTGGGCACCCCGACCCGGGCGGGCGCGAGTGGCCAGTCGGCGTCGGGGAGCAGCTCCGCGCCGCGCGCCGTGCGCCTCGGCTGCGCCTCCGCCTTCTGGGGAGACACTGCGGTCTCAGGTAACCCCGGTCGCAGCCTGCGCGCGCTCCCTCCTCCGAGCCCCGCGAGTGTGTCCACCCCGAAGGGCGAGAGGGGAGGCGCACGGTTGGCTGCAGCCTTGGGGACGCACGGTGTGGGGCCAGGCGCTGAGCCATCGCGCTGGGACTCTGCAGAAGTAGGAGCACCCCAGCCGCGGGTGGCTCGGCCAGGCTGCGCCGACCTTTCCCCGAGCGCAAAGAGAAAGTTGGCCGGCGGCCAGCCCTTGCTCAGCCCCTGCTCCAGAGCCTGCCCAGCGCCCGGCCCGGCCCGGCCCTGGGAACTGTCTCTTCCTCCCGGAGGACGCCTGCTCCCCTCCTCTGCACCTTCTCCTCTCCCGTCCCGCGCCGGCTTCCTTTGGGAACTTCGCTTCCTAGGCTGCAAAATGAGTCCCCGCAGGCCGCCGGCGGAGGTTGTGGCTTTGAGGGGCAGAATAGGGACTGTTAAAACGGGTTTGTGTGCTTGAATGGCCCAGGGCTTTCTTGTGCCTTTGGCCTCCTAAAGATTTGTTTAATTTATTAAATCTAAAGTACAAATGCGTTCTTCTCCCCTTTTCGGGCACCTTGATAAAGAAGTCAAGTGAAGGAAAGAGGATGGGAATCGAACCCCCATTACTTTTTTTTTAGATTTATTTATTTATACAAGAACTGGGGTACAGGTCAGAGGGGCGGGGGAGTGAGGGGATTCACCAGAGACAGAGTGGGGAACAGAACAGGCAGAATGACGAAATACACTGCTGAGGGGAGCAGCGGGCGCGGCAGGAGAGGTCTGCTGCGCCATGGGGGTAGCTCCCTGGAACCCGCGCTGCAGAGGCTGTGGACAGCTTCACAACGCAGAGCTCAACCTGCTGTGCCACCGGGGAGGCCCCTGAACCCCTTATTAAAGCTCTGACTCTACATAGTGGCAGTAACATAGGTGATCAGAGCCATAGGAGTTTTCATTTATTTACTTGGAAAACTCTAGCAAAATACCATGGCCAGAGAATTCATTCTGAGAGATTAAACCTTTCCTCCTACTGAAGCTTGTCCTGATGTGGGTTTTCCCTGGTTTCACGGTGGTCTTCATTTGATTGGCAGGCCCTTGTCTCTGTCATGATGGACCAAACCATTGCTCTCGTTCCCCACTTGTTATGTTTACTCCTTTTTATTTACAGGCCTGATGTGGTTTATTTTTTAGAATCCTCCGTAATGAATGGCGCTTTCAAAGAGGAGGGTGACACCTAAGATGCTATTGAAGAAGGATCTGGTCTGGGGTTCCAGAAGCATAGCTAATTTCAGAAGGCCTGTGTTCATTGCTTGGTTTTAGGGCCCGTTTCTCTGCTAATTGTCTGTGATCTTGGTCGCTCAACTTAGTTAATCTCAGAACCTTGTTCAGTGAAGCTGAAATAATAACCTGCATCCATTGACCAAGACTGCAAAATTAATAGTTGATCTTGACCTTCATCTTCCTTGACCTGTAGTATTGGACCAAATGGATCGCCCTCACCTTAAAGTGCTTTCTTCCTGAAGTCTCCTGGATTTTCCTTCCTTTCTTCCTGTTCACTCTTGGTCTCCTAGATTGGCTCTTCATCTCCCAGTGCTAAAGCTTGGGGTGCCCCAGGCCTCTTTTCTGAATGACTCAACGTTCGGGCGCCCCCATCTGTGATACATGACCTCAGTACTGGAAACATTCCCATGTTTATGCCTCTAGCAGGGGCCTTCTTGACATCTTGTGGAAAAGGCATCTCCGAAGTAACATGTTTAATGCACAATTCCAGGCCTTCACCCTAAGTCTTCTCCCTTGTTTTTCTCCATATCAGTACATGGACACCCTCTTTTCATGTGCAGACCCAAACTCTTGCATTCACGCTTGTCTCCACCGTCCCTGGAGACTAAGCCATCATCTCTGTAGTTGGACTACAGCACTAGCCTCCTTTCTGAAATTTTCATCCTGTTGCAATTGTTTAGAGGCCTTTTCTTAGAAAAGCACATTGCATGAGATATTCCTTTTGCTTCTGGACTGTGGCAACACTGGCAGATAGAATTTGAGCATCTGAATAAGGAAACATTTAAAATGCATGAAACTACTTTGCAATGCAGTTTACATCTCCGTCTTGGATTTTACATCACATCTGAGCCTATGGTGATCATTTGAACGATCCATCAGCCACAGGCAGGCCTTGTCTGATTTTCGTGGCATTGTTTGTTCTTGTCTTCTTTTTCTCTCTTAGCACACAGTCCCAGGAGTGCAGACACGACATTAGTTGTGTTCAGGTTGAGTTGCACATTTTTACTAAACATCTTGACATGAAATCCCAGAGTGAGATTTTTCTTCCTTCTCTGAAATAGCTAATAACAGAAAAGATTTTGTTGTGTGTGCAGTGTGTAAAATGGCTCAGCTGGAGCATGAATGACAAGCCACGTTTCCACATCTCCTCTTGCTGCTGTTGACTTTTATGAGTTTCTTGGAGAAATAACAGAATCAGGAACAGGACACTCATCTTTCAATAATTTCTCATGTTTTAGTGGGTTTTTCATATGTGTCCACATCATGTTTGAGTTGACTCTATCTTGGATTTTAAAAGTCATCCATCTGTCGTAGAAGCTTGTCACGTTGTGCAGGGGAAAATGTCTACATGACTGTGCCAGTTATTAAGAAATACTTAAACATGGCGTTTAGTTGATGTATTTACTAAGACTTTGCTTTACTGAGTTCTCTAACGTAATGGAAAATGGTTGCGTCTGTGAAGATTCTTGACAGAGACTCTAGAGTAAGTTTTAGCGTTTTCCAGATGTCAGAATAAGGGTTTCTAGGGCAGTGAATAAGGAATTGGGGGCTTATGTAATACTTGGGTAAAGCAGGAGCACTTATGAAAAGTGAGAGCTGTGGTGTGAAGAAACCTCTAAAAAGAAGAGCTGTTTCAAAATACATTTGCTGACTCATTCCACCATTGATTGATTGAACCAGCTTTTGCTAAGGCTCCGTCAGGTACGGTGCTAGTGATTACCAGCAGCACTACGACAAAGCTCCTACTTTATACACTCCACTTTTTAGGAGGAAAAATATCTTATGATTGTATTTTTCTTTAGACTTTTTGTCTCTTATTTTGTACTTTGGGAATTGCCTTTGAATGAGGTTCTTAATAAGGGCACCACTTAACAACAACCAAGTCTTTTAGCGTGAAAGGAGGGAAGCTAAGACTGAGTGAGAGTAAAATTTCCCTTGACCTCCTGGGTTTGCATCATATCAAAAACTATGAGGGACAGAGTTGATTTTTGCCTAAATTAATGATGAACTTGGGATCACACACATTTTACAGCTGATAAATTGAAAATATATCAATTCTTTCACAAAGTGATCCTTCCCATTGAGGGAAATAATTTTTGGACAGTGTTGGGAATAGGGACTCTGCTATCACTACTGTAGATATTTTCCTATTTTCTGGTTTTTTCTCTTACCCTGTAACAACTCCCTTCTCTTTTAGTCAACGTGATTAAGTACAAGGTTACCACCCCAATACAATACTTGAATGTAAAGTACAGTGGGGGAAAAAAGGGTTCTCAGGGTACACCCCTAAATGCATATCTGTATTTGAATGTAAAAGAAATAAGATATCACTCATAATTTTTGTTTTGAGTAAACTATTGTTAAATTCATATTTTTAAAAGTAAATTACTGTCTGTTCTTTAATTCTAGTTCCTCAGCTGCTGTATGGAGAGACACTGGATTATTTGGTTTTTGATTATCTCTCAGAAATAACTATGTGCCTTCTAGCTGCTGCAAAAGAAAAATCCCCTGTAAGTTAGCTATTGTGGTCATTTTAGTAACCATATAACCATCCCTTAAAGGCTAATTGTATGTGACAATGCTATTGTAAGTGACTTATAAATCTTCAAAATGTTAAGTCTTCTTATTATTAGGAAAAATGTAAGTCATTTGGTTATTTGCCGTCATCCTTAAGTCATACATTAAGAAATAAAGCTAACATATGCATAAAACTAAATGCCTAAATATTCAACAATAATGAAATGTTTAAAGACATGATAAGCGACATAGACAACAAAATCCTATGTAGCTACCAAAATTATATGTTTAAACCTTATAATTGACAGGGGAAATTGTTTATGCTATCATATGTAATATATGATAAGTGCCTTAATCCTAACTTTGAAATATTTGTTAGTTTTCGTGGATTAAATTTTCTCTTTTTAATATTTAAAGACTGGAAATTGGCCTGAGCTATGGGTTATCCAGCAGACATTTCATTTAGGCAAGAAAACCATGCAAATGATTTAGCTTGTTAGAAAATATGTGGACATATAGTACAGTTATGTCATCAACTTTGTGATACTTAGTTTCCCTATGTCACTCACTGTTTTTACTTAGTAGAATTAAAAAAATGAACCATTGCAGCATAACTGATTTTCTTGTTTGTGTGCTTTGAAGTACAATTTGTTCACAAATGAGCTACTTTGGAATAACTACACCAGCCATGGTAACTCTTGACTGCAAGCCACCATTTTGGTTTTCTGCAGCTATTTCTGTAGTCTATCAAGGGAATGTGAAATCATTGGTTGAGCACCAGCCTAGGACTTAGTGACGAATGCCCAAGGTGTCTGTAGCACCAGGAATTTCAGGTTTTAATAAAACTGCTGAAGACCTCAAAAGAGGAGTTACTGTGTTTGATTTTCATCCTTATTTTATCAGTTTGTTGATAGTGAAAGTTCAGTTTATTTTGAACATAATGTTACACCTTCCCGTTGACTGGTTATATTTTCAAATTCATATGTTCTTTTCAGAGAATATAAATTTGATAGTGATTTAATATTTAATGTAACCTACACTATTGCCTTTGAGTTGACCAAATACATTTTATAGAGAATAGCACATTTATTTTTATATTTTAGAACTTGGGCTATATTCCTGATTTTGTCCAGACAGCCATGGCTCCATACATAAAGGACATTCACCGAAAAGGTAAGTCAATAAGTCATCTTACATTTCAAGAATAAGGGAATTTAGATATATGTATTATAGAGAAACACACACACAGAGGGGTAACTATTGATATGTAAAACTGAAATATATATAACTTTGTTGTACTGATTGATCCCTGAAAGTAAACAACTAAATAACTCAGTAAACAATTCAAAAGCTTTATTAGCCACCTTAATGTGGTTCTGAGGAAGAGGGTAGTGGCCAATAGATGAAAGAATATTTAAAAATGTAAAAATATCAAGTCTCTGTTCCATAAATCAGCCCACAGGGGCTGGGCTGCCTTCCTGTCTGTTTGATTTTTACTGGGTGGTTCCTCTGGTCACTCTGGGCCTTCTGTGGCTCAGGGAAAAATCTCATGAAGATGACTTCCTGGGGTCAGGTGAAACTTGTGGTCACAGGATCCCTAAATAGCTGCTAGTCATACTTGAACCTAACCCCAGACTTGGCTTATTTTGCTAATGAAGAAAATCTTTTGCAGCTGGGTCCTGAGGTAACTGCAAGCGGCATTACTGAATGTCTCCTTTTTAAGTATTGAAATTGTATGTGTACTTATGAAGGGTAAATCCTGTGAGATATGTCATGAGGAGAAAGACAAATATTGGATAATTTCACTCTAATGTGGAGTACAGAGAAACAAAACAAAGGGCCAGATACAACCAAACTAATAACAAACCCTAGAAATCTGACTGTACAGCTGAGGCTACTAGAGGGGGAGTTGTGGGGGGTGGGAACAGCAAGGTGGGGAGGGGATCCAGTGGACTATGGTGGAGGTTGTGGGCGCATTGGTGGTGGGTGTGGTGACACCACTATACCTCAGTGATATAGAGTTGTAAACCAGTGTTACCTCAATAAAAAAGTAAATGATAAAATAATAAATGTAAGAAAAAAGAATGCTAAATCCCTTAGAATATTTTTAGATCTGTAATTAAGAGTCTGCTTCTAGTTAGTATATATTATTTAGTTGCTTGTAGGGGCAGGAATGACACAGTGCAGGTTTTCTGATCCAGCAGACCGGGTAAAGGAGGAGTCAGAGTCCTCAGTGTTTTTTTTGCAGGTCTTTTATTGGGGTTTACCAGACATATGGCAGGCAGGGGTGCTGGGGGACCAGGAGGCTGGCAGGCCTCCCAGCCCCCAGCAAGTCTTCACTCTATCTGGGTTCTCCGGAGTTCTCTGCTTCTCTCTCGGCTTCTGCTACTTCTTTCTCAGCTTCTCTTTTGGCTTCTATTGGCGTCCCCGTGACGCCGCCCTTAAAAAGCACAGTCTTGACCCAGGTGTACCCACTTCAGGTGCCTGCCATCAGGCATGCATTCAGGATCACAGGGTTCCCTCATCTATCCTGATGGCGGGAGGGCAGAAAAGCCTGATTTTTTACCTTACCCTACATTGCTTTATAAAAATTTTTTTATAGAGGTTAAGTTTGTTTACATCCTTTGTATTTTGAAAGTGTAGGATTCCCCCCTGACACCTCCCCTTTCACATGGTGTTACCATGGTTCTCCCACCACCAAAACACCCTATAGTCTGTAGTTTTATTGCTGATGCATTTCAGAATACACCAGTTCGGAGGGGCTGTTTTTAAATATTATCCAGTAGGGGGAGCCATATCCCCTTTTAAAAAATTACCCAGAGCCAGCGGGAAGTCAGACTTATGAACCAGATATTGGTGGTATATTTGTTATGTGTGTATTATCTGTCATTCTTTCAGGGTTAATACTGCTCTTGCTGTGTGCCAAACCCAGGGATAGGTATTGCAGTATAAGCAAGGCCCAAGACACTGGTGGTTCTTAGATGAGTAGGTAGAAAAAGAAACCGGTTCGGGGAGTTTCTTTCAGTATAAGTAACAGTTAAAGCTACTATTGGAAAAGACTTTTGTGCAGGAAAAAAACCCACATATTTGATTATAAAGACTAATGGGTATAACTTCTAATTATATACACTTAAAATCATTCTCTAGCCAAGAGGAGTGATTTTACAGAGAATTCAAACCGCTGCACAGATGTTTTCTGACAATCTTTGTCATTAATCACACACAGGTCTCTAGGGAGTCTGACCCCACAGATGACAGTGAACTAGTACGGGGATGGTGGGGCCTTTATCTCATCTCTGTCTGATAGGCTGCATGACCCTGGATAAGTCCCCTGGCCTGTCTGCGCTTTAAGGCGATTGGATTGAGTCATGGTCTCTTAGTCTAGTGTCCAAGGATGGGCATTGGGGAATCTGAGATGCCTGAAATTATAAGCAAAATATGTTTTCCCCCTTAGGTAAAGAATCCATAGCTTTGATCACATCTCCAAAAGGTTGAGGATAAGAACTCCTGGATTAGGTGATCTCTGAAGTTTGCTGTACTTTAGAATTCTGGGCTTTTGAATCTCTAACTTCAGCTACTTGGGAGTATCCCACATTACCTGTCTCAGCCAATCACTGTCAAAGATGGAATTACAGACTAGAGTTTCTGAGATGTAATTGATTGCTCTCTAGAAGATTATTTAGCTAATCCAGATAACTTTAAAAATTAAAATGAACCCATTCTTTAATAGTTTACAGACATTTTAATCAGGACCCGCAATTTCCACGCACATCCACTGCTAGCCACGCGTCTGATGAGCATGAACACCAGCCATGGCTGCAGCCGCTTGAATATTGTACAGAGAGGCCACTACCTGGGGGTGTTTGCCTCTAGAAGGAAAAACCAAACCAACAGTGGGGAGAGAAAGTGGTTCATTGACTGTTAACTGGTGATGGGACTCAACTCAGACTCACGGCCTGGTGGTTCTCTGTGGCAGGTGTGCGCGTGGTCGCCAATGCCGGGGGCATCAATCCTATCCAGTGTGCCGCTGCCCTCGACCAGGTAGCCAGGAAGGCTGGCGTTGACCTGAAAATAGCTGTGGTCACTGGGGATGACATCATGGCAGAGGTGAGTGACACGCGTGTGGTAGGCTCCTAGGCAGGAAGCCATGCTCTCTTGGGGTAAACAACTATGGTCTTTTCATTTGGTCCAATTTTTATCTTCGTGTTATTTTTGGTATTTCGCATTTTGGTATAACTGAGGACTGATCCCTAGAAATCCCTTTCCGATCTATGTTACTTTATAAAATCTGTTATGCCAGTGCCCTTGAATGATTCTCCAATTATGCTTCTAAATTCCTTATGTGTGAGGTATGAAGGAATTACTGAATCAGTGAAGGCAACGTTTAAAGTGATTCTGGACCCTATTGGACATGGATGGCTAAATCGATTGTGCATCTTACAAAACATGGAATTATTTATCGCAAGACATTATCAACTGTCTAATCCTACCATCGTTTTGCTTCTAGCTGATGGATTTGGCTACAGGCATTACCGTCTGTGTCACAACAGGTTGGGAAATGAAATTAATAAATTCTTTTATTGACAGTTCATTTAAAAAGCTAGATATTTAGGGCCTCTCTGGTGGTGCAGGCAGCTGAGCGCTGCATTATAAAGCTGTTCGGAGGCTCTGCAGCATGGGTTTGATCCCAGCTGGCCGGCGAGGGTCCCACATGGCGCAGCAGACCTCTCCTGTCTCTCCCGCTGCTCCCCTCAGCAGTGTATTTCGTCAGTCTGCCTGTTCTGTTCCCTGCTCTGTCTCTGGTGAGTCCTCATACTCTTCTGCACCTCTGGCCTGTACCCCCGTTCTTGTATAAATAAATAAATAAATCTTTTTTTTTAAAAAAAGCTAGATTTTAAGTGGGCATCGTGCTTTTCATGGCGACATTTCCTTAGCACCATGGGAGCTTGACTCCCTGCAAAACATAAGAGGTGACACCCCACTTGTGAAAGGCCAGCCCCATGTCTGCAGGCCCGTGGACATGAATGATGTTGATACAAGCTGTCAGGTCACTTTTCAAGAGCAAGAAGAGGTTATTTATTATTTTTTTAAAAGATTTATTTATTTATGCATGCAAGAGCTGGGTTATAGGCCAGAGATACGGGGGTGAGAGGATTCACCAGAGACAGATTGGGGAACAGAACAGGGAGACTGACTGAAATGCACTGCTGAGGGGAGCAGCAGGCGAGACAGGAGAGGTCTGCTGTGCCATGTGGGTTGCTCCCTGGCCGGCCGGGCATTGAACTTGTGCTGCAGAGGCTGAGAACTGCTTTGTAGTGTGGTGCTTAACCCCTTGTGCCACCAGGGAGGCCCAAGAAGAGGTTATTTATGTATTTGAAGCCATTCTGTGAGACAGATATTCTCAGTGTCCTACTTAAAAGATGAAGAAACTCAGAGCAGGACAGAGAAGCAGGTGGTTTGCCAGGGCCCAGAACCCCACATTTCCCCACCAGGCTTCACTCAGCCTGTCTCAGTTCAGGTTCTCTTATCACACTTGCCTTACAAGGTCATTCTGGAAACTAAGTGAAGCATTGTATGAAAAGTGCCTGCAATGAATTATCTTTTCCAGGACATATTAATATCTTTATTCCAATTATGAATAAGTGAATAAAGAAATTTCATTGTGAAATATTGAAATAATGAAATTCCACTTACACATTGCATGTTTTTGTTGCTGTAGCATATATAATTACAAGCAATCTCACTATGAATAAATGTTTAAAATATTTTTTTGCAAAATATTTATAGAAGGAGAATCTGCAAAGATCAGCTGTCACAGATATGGAGAGTGGGAAGAAATTTCCAGATACTATTAAAAGCATGAATGCGTACCTGGGGTAAGGTCTTTTATATTCTTTATTCTTCCCTCTTTCCCCTCCTGTCTTCCCCTCCCTCCCTCCTTCCCTACCTCAGTAGATGAACACTAGTGGCTTCAATGTGTTGACCATTTGAAAGTCCTTCTCCCAGGGTGCTCAGGTTGCTGCAGAAACTCTTAGGAATATCATCTTGATCCAGTCATCTATTTGGGGGCATTTGGGTTATTTCCAGGTTTTACCTATTGTAAATAGTGCTGCAATAAACATAGGGGTACAGGTTGGTCTTTTGAATCAATGTTTTTGTGTCCTTTGGGTAGAGCCCTAGGAGTGGAGTTGCCTGGTCATATGGTAGCTCCATTTTTATTTTTTTTAAAGATTTTTTTATGAATACAAGAACTGGGGTACAGGTCAGAGGTGCAGGAGGGTGAGAGAATTCACCAGAGACAGAGCGGGGAACAGAATAGGCAGACGAACCAAAGACACTGCTGAGGGGATCAGCGGGCGAGACAGGAGAAGTCTGCTGTGCCATGTGGGTTGCTCCCTGGCCAGCCAGAAATTGAACCCAGGCTGCAGAGGCTGCGGACAGCTTCACAGCGCAGTGCTCAACCTGCTGCACCACGAGGGAGACCCAGTAACTCCATTTTTAGGAGACTGAGGAACCCCCAGACAGCTTTCCATAGTGGTTGGACCAGTTTGCACTTCACCGGCAATGTAGGAGAGTTCTTTTTTTCACCACATTCTTGCCAACATTTGTTGTTGCTTGTTTTTTTGATATGTGCCACTCTTACTGGTGTAAGGTGGTATCTCAATGTGGTTTAATTTGCATTTCTCTCAGGAAGATGTGGCATATATATATACAATGGAATATTATTCAGCAATCAAAAAGACAAACTCATACCCTTCACAGCAGTGTGGATGGAACTAGAAGGAATTATGCTCAGTGAAATAAGCCCGAAGGAAAAAGAAAAAGAATGGATGGTTTCACTTATAGCAGGAATATAGGGGAACCAAATAAGACATCAGTGTAAAAAAATAATAACAATACAAAACACAAGAAAGCAAAAATGGACAATTATAAATCAGAGACATCCTGCAGGGGAGGAGGCAGGAGAGGGATCAGAGGGAGGGAGGCAGGAGCACAGGGGACTGAGGTGATGGTGCACGGGTGCATTGGGGAAGGAAACTCAATGGGGACCACACCTGAGGGGGGGGAGGGAAGCAAATATTGTTTAAAAATGAACAATGATGTCAAAAAAATTAATAAAAAAAAGAAACTCTAAGGAATATCAAAAGGACTTCCTCCACAACCACCCTAGTTTTTACCTCCTAGACCACATGAGGTGGCATGAAGGAAGTAGAAATTCTCTCGACAGCTGTAGCTTTGACAACTGTAGCTGCTACAGCGGTGTCCCCATGGACTATCTAAACCAGAAGTAGAAGGACGAATTTGACTTTGACCCTTGAGGTTGTAAGAGGTCAGGAGGATGGGGGTTGCTCAAGCATCTTACTTTGGTACTTCATTCTAAGAGCACTGCAAGGTACAGGTGTGTGCTGCAGGCTTGGGTTCCACAGGTGAGAACAAATCTGTTCTGCCTGGAGGAAGTGATAAACAAATGGATGTGCTTTGGCTCTGCCTTTTCCTGTGCTTGAGTTCCTTGCTGGCTGGGGTTTCTGCTTATCTCTGATGCCTGGTGTTCATCTCAAGGCCTGCCAGAAGAAGCTGAGGCAAGCAGTGCCTGATCAAACCAGTGGCTTAGACTAAGAAATCATTTTGGGGCAACAAAGTCCTGCTTTGTGGAAAAATATGTGTGTGTTTCACAATGCCTTTCAGTTTAATTCAGCCTGATGCAAATGCCCTGTTTATCTGCTTAAGCACAACTTTTACAGAGTCTAGGGAAATCCTGCCTCCTGCAATGAAAGGGAAGCTAGAAATTTGTGGACAGAATTATGAGGTCTAACGTGCTACCCAGTGACAGCTCTAGGAGAACAGAATATGTGAAACAGGGAAACAATGTCCAGAGACAATGGCTGAGCATTTTTCAGTGTCGAGATAACAGAGTCACAAGGTCAAGGAGGATAATTCCAAGCAGAGTAAATGGAAAAAAAAAAAAAAGCATGTGGTAACCGCATCCCAAGGCACGAGACAGCGCATGGAGTCAGCAGTTAGGCTGATGCCACCTCTTTTTTTTTTTAAGATTTATTTATTTTTATACAAGAGCTGGGGTACAGGCCAGAGGCGCGGGAGAGTGAGAGGATCCACCAGAGACAGAGCAGGGAACAGAACAGGCAGACTGACTGAAATACACTGCTGAGGGGAGCAGTGGGTGAGGCAGGAGAGGTCTGCTGCGCCATATGGGTTGTCCCCTGGCTGGCTGGGGATCGAAGTCATGCTGCAGAGGCTGCAGATAGCTTCACAGTGCTGAAATTAACCCTTTATGCAAGCATGGAGGCCCCCCATTTTGTTTGTTTTAAGCTCAGCCCCATTAAAAGCAAGAACCATGTTTTGTTTCCCAAAGGGCAAGACCAATCAGCCGTGCCCTGGGCCTCGGTGCTGACGTGGTTCTGACTGGCCGCTGCGTGGACAGTGCCCTGGTGCTGGGGCCGCTCATTCATGCTGTAAGTTTGTGGAGAGAACGAACGTCATTATCGCCTCGAACATGTCACGTTCCTCAGCTTACAATTTTCGTTGGTCCTTACAAAATGTGTTTTTGTGCCAGATTGTTAGCTTTACAATATTAAAAACATGTCAAAGTAAATCAGTTACTTTCCTAATGAGGTTTAACATGTCTCATGTACCACAAGGCATGCAGTGAATTTCGAATTTGTTTTTATAGGATGATGATGTTCCATTAAGAAAAGGTGGTATAGTTTTTGTTGCCATTAACCAAATTCTTCAAAGATGGTGACGTGAAATCTGATTCATATGTATGGTTGGTGTAATCATTTCTGCACTTTTTTATTCATTACTTCCAGTCTTATATTTAATACCTTAGAATCCTTTATTGAGGTTATTAGGAAAGTCTCTACAGTTTGAGGACTCTCCTGCGTGCCTAAGAACTCCTTTTCCTATGTTAAATTTTTTTGGATCGTCATTTTCCCTAAACGTGGATGGATTAACCTTTTTCTGGTCAGATTCTCAACTCTTTGTGTTCCTCCGTCTACCTCCTTTTTTAAAAAAAAAAAAATATCCATTTATGCATACAAGAACTGGGGTACAGGCCAGAGGTGAGGGTGGTGAGAGGATTCACCAGAGACAGAGTAGGGAGCAGAACAGGCAGAGTGACCGAAATGCACTGCTGAGGGGAGCAGTGGGGGAGTCAGGAGAGGTCTGCTGCGCCATGTGGGTTGCTCCCTGGTCAGGGATTGAACTCGTGCTGCAGTGGCTGCGGACAGCTTCATACGTTGTGTCCTAACCTCTTGTGCCACCAGGGAGGCCCTCCGTCTACTTCCTTAAAAGCTTGAGGTTCTTGAAAAATATTCTGAAATCAAATCAGCCTTCTCAAGGGTGGTGCAGCCTCTTCCCTAGAATGGAGAGAGAATGAGGATGCTCTTGTGACACAGAAAGGAAGGTCAGTGGAGAGGCTTCTTGAATGCCTCTGTTCACTCCCTGGGGCCTAACCCAGCTCACAGCCTTGTGCTCAGGAAGATGCAGCTGTAGCTTTACGTCTCCAGGCTCTGGCGCGGCTGATGCTGGGATTGGTGCTTTGGGCCCAGCTCTTCCTCCAGCAGAGTGCAGGCATTGTGATTTGTTGCTTGCTGAATATTCCATACTCCTACAGATATTTTTGAACTTTACCTTGAAAGGCGATGTTACTTTGAAGTTGATCCTTTCTGGTTTTGCTTTTAAGATTTGTTAAATCAGAGCTGCAATAATACTGGACTGATTATTTCCCATTATTGAGACAAGGCTATTTTGAACATGTGACCCATTTCTTGATGAAGATGAGATTTTCCTGTGTGAGTGGACACTAGTGCCAGACTGGGGCGCTTCTTCATGCTTGTGAGCAGGCCACTTCTTGGCTGAGCACGCAAGAGGGAGTCTTGAGGATTTCTGGAGCTCTCTGTGGTAATCTATCCTGTGTGTTTTCATCACTGTGTTCTCCTGGCTTCTGAAAGCAGGGGATCTGCTGGACTCCATGTTTAATCCTCTTAAATACTTGCCCCAGAAGCTCGGTCATAGGCTCATCTCATTCCTTTAAACCTCTCAGGGGTCACTGTTCTTTGTAAATTCAGTCCAAATTATTCCATCTTGTCCAGAGCAAAATTTTTGCTTCCAAGTTTTTATGTGAGGTGTCGTTAGTTTCTCTATAGAATTTTTGCATTTGAATCCATGTAGTGATTATGAATTGAACTTTAGATCAAGCAGGAAATTAATTACCTTATCTCAAACACATACTTTATAAAGATTCTAAATATAGATGGATGAATTGTAAGTGAAATAATTAAGTTTTGTTTTTTTCTCAGTTTGGTTGGAAAAGCGATGACTTTGATTTATTAGCAGCTGGAAGGTAAGTCTAATAATAATAGTAGATGGAATTTTACACTTATAATTACATTACAGTACAATTTAATTATGCTGTTTAGAAATTAAGATATATGTGTCTAGTAGGTCATCTGAAACTTATTTTAACTGCAATAATTGTATTTTTTAATATTGCAGAGTTTTAAAGCTAAATTGATATGTGATTTACAAAGATTCAAGACATTTTGTGAAACAAATAACCATCACTAATTGAGTGCTTGTTTGGTGACAGGCAGTTCACAATATTATTTTTTATTCACTTACTAGGCAGATATTGTTATCCCCATCTGAACGACGAGGAAATTGATTTATAACTAAGTCACCAAGCTAGATTCACACAGGCCAAATAACTAAGACCCAAAGTATTTTATTATACCCTGCTAATTGAAGTTCATCTCTTTAAAGAGCTTCAGACCTTTTATATTTTTGGAGAGTCAGCTTTAATAATACATTTATTAATGAGTTTTTAGTCCATTAACATATCAAGTAGGTCAATAATATTTTTAAAATTTTCTCCCCTATAATGACCATGTAATGTCACACTTCCAGTCTGATAATAATTTCAATTTTGAAGCATTTTGCATTTTCATGGTGCTTTCACAATTTTTTTCCCTCAGTTAATTCTCAGAGCTCTATCATTAATGTATTAACCCCATGTTGCTCAATACTATCACCTGGCCTAAATTCCTGTGGCCCTTAGGTTGGTGCTTTTCTTTTTTCTCTATTATTCCAAGCTGGCCTTCCTTCCCACATCATTATCTTGCTTTATTAAAATGAGTAAACAAGCTCCAAATAGTAGCGTCACAAGTTTCCTTTCGGCTCGTAGGGAAAAGTCTTCCAAAAATAAAGTTTTATTTATTAATTATTATTTTATATTTGGGCAGGTACTGAACATTTTGCTCACACATTCATGACATATTCCTGCTTGCTTTGCAGCCTTGCTGGCCACCTCATTGAATGCGGTGCTCAGAGCACTGGTGGGATCTTCACGGATTGGCATTTGGTGCCAGACTGGTAGGAAGGCCCCCCCAACACACACATGCACGCACGGGACTAGCATGGCATAGAACATCTCTGTTTTAAAGACTTAGGTCTTTACCGTCCTATGGATTTATCAAAATTGCATTGTCTAGCCCAATGAAAGGGAACAAATTCTAGAAACATTGCCTGGAATCATGGTTCTAACGCTTGCTGGCCAGTGAGACAGGACAAGTTATTCAACCTTAAAGTGCCTCAATCCACCTATCTGAAGAAGCAGGGGACGGGCAGCTTCTGCTCTCCCTGGGTTACTATGGAATGGGAGTGAATTAAGTAACAAGTGTAAAACTCTTCAAACAGTTCCAATATTATAAACTCTCAATAAAATGTTTACTTTCATTGTTTTGCATGTTATTGTCCATCTACTATTTGTATAGTAGTGAGAGATATATTCTTTAGTGAAAGATTAGCTGTGTCCTTTGACTTTGTCTGAGCACGTGCTACACATCTCAATGATATTACATAGTCCTGAGTCTTATTGAGGTCCTTGACTATAAAGCAAGGGTACTACTACTTCCCAGAAGGTCATTGTAAAGATGACAGCACACAGCTTGTGTTGGTAAGGGCTGAGTCCAGTGCCTGATACTTAGTAAAGCTGAGCAATGGTTCACAGTAGCAACAGTGATGATGTTAGTACTGATACTGATGCAGGAGGAGGAGGGTAGTGATAGAAATAGTAGTGATAATGGTAGTAACAGAGGCACGGGTAGTATTTGATTATTTTTTGGAGACTGGTATACATAAGCCATTGAATGTAGCTTGGGAATGTGAGGGTAGAACATAAAGATTTACTCGACTTTTGGTGAGAGTTGATCTGTGTTGTCACAGCAATGGCTGGGTCAGCCTCAGTGTGTGGAATACAAGAGGGGGGAGAATCAGAAGACCAGGCAAGGCAAGGACAAGGGGCAGGTGGAGGATATTGGAGACTGTAGTTTAAATTCTTACTCATTAAATTCAGGCATAGCGAAGGTAGAAAATAGGTCCTAAGGTGGGAAGTCACGAGCTGAGAGTAAGAGGAAGCCTGCAAGGGAGACAGCTTGTCATCTGCCCTACCCAAAAGACAAGCTATTCCTCAACCATTTCTCATTTTTGCATCCAACTTGGATGTGTCTTTCTTTCCACTCCAGCAATTAAAAGGTTAATTCCTTTATTTTTACACACACAGTGTTAGCCAGAGGTGCATCAGTGTGACCATATTCTACCTCTTCTCTTTAATGCAGCTTTTTTTTCAATTTTCCCTTGTTTTCCTCATAATTTTTTATTTTATTATATATATATTTACATCATTTTTCATTTTTGCACAATGTATGCATTTTCATCTTGGTTTTAGTCCCCATACAATTCCCACCCCCCTTGTTTTGATCCTACTCCCTTCTCTCCCCAGATTTTTAAAGTTTTGGGTTTGGTGTCTCATTTCCCACTGATTCTCTCCTGCTTATCAGCCGCACCCCTGCCTGTGTCATCACACCAGCCATCTGACGGATGTGCTTTCATATTTTATCAGTAATCAGATAATCACATACAGACGGGATGCATATTCAAATATTCACATATTAGCTCATGATAACATGTTCTAATAATTGATAAGTCAGTTCCTTCCTACTTACTCCACCTGTGAACATTTTTTTTTGTTCTCTGCCCTTTATTCTCCTGCATGAACTTTAACATGACTTTATCCAAAGAAAGGAATTCCAATTGGATTTCTTTTGAGTAGACAGTAATTTGGTACAATTGACATTTTTATTATAATGTCTTTCCAGATAAGAAAGTGGTTCAATGTTATAGGTCTTATTGCCCTTCACTACGATTCAGAAATATTAAAATACAGTGTGTTAGCTCTCCTTATTTTTTATCTTCTTATTACTTTGACTTTTGAAATTCTCATCTACCCCAGTGTAATGTTCTTTCCTCCCTTATTATTCAAAATGATCATGTTTAATTTTGTGTATTACTCGTGACCATTTCAACATCAAACTAAGGTCATAGGTTGTGTCTTTAAATTACCCTTTACGCCCCTTTTTATTTATCTTCTTTTCATGAACTTATGTTTCTTAGTGAACAAAAGCACGACTTTATAAATTGAAAGTTCTTTGAATGCCAAGACCCAAGTCCCACCAGCTTGGGGTGATTACAAGACTAATAGGAGGGAGAGGACCCCACCATTCACCAGGAGTGAACGGAGGCTCCCTGGGGACCTGATGCATGCCCCCTCCTTAGCCAGCGCAGCTCCCCAGTCTCCTCCCTGACTTCTTAATTTGAATATCATGCTCCATCCAGCATCGCTCACATTCTCGTATCACAAGGAGCTAGAGACCGTCTCCAAACCTTTTAAAAAAAAATAACTGAACTTCTGTGCTACATGTTCATCTGTTCCTCTCCATGGGATTTTTCTTGGGCACCCAGACAGCATCTGGATTCAGTACTAAATACACATTAGCGTGTCATTGTGCCATTTAAGAAGCCATGAAAATGGAGTGTGTGGACGGCAGTTAGCTTTGGGCAGATGTAATTTATTGAAAGCAGTGTTTGTTGTGACGTAGCTTCTTTTCCTCACGTTTTCCGCCTGGTTATTCTGAACCCTGCTTTCCCCCATTTTTCACCTAGGCACAACATAGGATTTCCTGTTCTGGAATGTTTTCCTGATGGACAGTTCATCCTCTCCAAGCCTCCTGGCACAGGAGGATTGGTATCTTTTGGCACAGTGGCTGAACAGCTATTGTATGAAATTGGGGACCCTCAGAATTTCCTCTTACCTGATGTAAACTGTGACTTTTCTCAAGTTACTATTACTGAGATTCCAGGTCAGTGACTAGTACGATTTTGCTTTTAAATGTTCTACTTTTTCAGATAGATTATTTTGCATATAAAATTGTAATACCATCTTTTACCAATACCATCTTTTCTAAGTGTGACAATATGTGATGTGACCGGTAGCAAACATTAGAAAGTAGTTGGAATGAAGTGGAAAAGACATATTCTTAGGTTTGCTTTTAATTCATGCTTAATAATATTTGGGAGAGAGGGAGGGGTGGGGGAATGGAGAGATTGAGAGGCAAGTATCTTATTTAAATATTCAATTAGTACTTCACGATTAGTTTGCTGCTGGAAATAATGTCCTCTCCTCTGCACTTCCAAGCTATTTGACTATATCCCTCATATGGAACTGAAGTTCCCTCATGTGGAACTTCAATCTTACGATATTTACTTATTTATATAGTATTTTTAGCTCATCTTTCTTCTATTGGATTGTAGGCTTCTTGAAAACAGAACTCTTGTCTGATTAGTTTTTGTGTCCTTTTAAATCCTTAGCATAGTACCTTGCAAATAATAAATGCTGGATAAATTCTATTGACTGATGAACAAATGAATAAAAGCTATGATTCATGATAACCAGCTGGTACTCTATCGTAAAGAGAAAAAATGTGCTTATCAATTTAAGAAGCGAATGAAAGACTTAAAATTATATTGGACAGCTGAGGACATGCCACTGTCAGGAGAAAGTGAACATCAGTGGAAGGCTCCGTAACATCACACATTTAGAATCTGTTACTGGACTCTAACATGTGCCAGGGTTTTATAGAAGAAAAATGTTTTCAATCTGTGAACCAGTAGTTGTGTCCTAAATTTTATAAAGGCGGTCACTGTTTTTTCCTTGAAAATTATTGTTCTGAACATTTTCAAAAAATATGCAGATTTTATCCAAAAGAAAATCAGTTTTATCAGTAATTCTAATAATACTGTCTGTTTGACATAGGTCCTTTTACCAATGATCTACTAATTTTGTTCCAAGTGTAAGGTATTACTTCTTCCATACACAGTGCATAAATGGTGTATCTCAAATAGCATTTTTAGAAATTGCAGATTAAAAATTATCTTTATTCGGCTAAATGGTGAGATGATATTCATTTATTAATTCTAATGTTCCTTTTTCTGTTTTTATTTTACTATTTTTAAATATGTAGTTTAAACAAAGTAGTCAATATAAAATGAAATATAACTGTTATATATTTTAAATAATATCTACAACTACCAAAATTTATCCATAGCTTCTTCTCTAAGAATAGTCCTAAGTAATATCATCTTCGGCTTCTTCCGTATAACCACCATTGCCATTATGCATTGCACATGGCCTTTTAAAATGTATAATTTTTATTTATGATGCTTAAAAATGCAGTGGTCATAATAATGCAATGTGAAATAGCTTCAATTAGTATCTTTATTCTTTTTCCACTTCAGTCTTTAAAAAATAATAATAAACTCCCAGTGAACTTTTACCCTGTGAATGACCTGATATGACATATTTGAACTTACAATGAACTTTCACATGAACTTTCAGTTATCCTCTGAGAAATATAACAGATGGAAAATAGGCAGATTTTTCAAATATTTTTAGATGCAGTACTTTGACATGTTTAGCAGAGGCAAAAAAGTGGCCTATCTCTTTCCAATGTTTACTTTGCTGGCTTTGCATTACTGCAGGCAGTTTAGTTACAGTATATGCCTGAATTAAGAGAGTCAGTTATTTTTTTTGCTTGACTGGCATCTTGATTTTTAAACCAGCACTTGTATATGCATTTAATGACAAAGCTAATTGGGTCAGAAAATAAACAAATTCTGAGAGAACTTTATTGAACCTATTAAAATAAGATTGTTTCAAATCATTTAGCTATAAGGGGCTTTTAAAACTCCATCAGGGTTTTAGAAAATGAATTAACTATAATTTTTCTGAGTTCTTTGCAGCTAGGAATTGAATTCAAAATGTATTTGGCTTTTGAATGGTCATTTGGAAAAAGAAGAGGAACATTATAAGCACCAACTGTTGTATTACTAGTACCATGATGTGAAATCAGCTTCTTACAGAAATTCAATCTTTACAGACTTCTTCTGAAGTAGTTATTGTGTTCATTTTATTGAAGAGGAATGAGACATAGAGTGGTAATTGTCTGGGAAGACACAGCCAAACTGGGAATTAAGTCTAGGTCTCCCAGACTTTCAAATCCTTGCTCCTAAACAATTTCATACTCCCAGAAACAAAAAGTTGTTTGGTCAACTAGATGCTAAAGATAAAAGTGTGATAAAGCTAAATATAATTATTATCTTTAAGTATTTAAAGGCTTATTTCTTTTTCCTTATTGCATAATATTGTCAGATTAGTTAGATTGAAAACCTCAGAATGCTCTGAGTGATCCTGAAACTGTACACAATTGGAAGTGACACGGCTATGCACTTACAACTGTAAGCCACGACACAGACTCAGAGTGCAACAACAGCAGGGTTTATTTACGAAGAGGTGAGAGAGCTAAGGAAATTGGGAAAAAGGAAAGAATTTCTAAGGCCACAAATGGCCATCTTTCCTACCCCAGATGGTGTCCACAGTGACCAGGAATCTAATCCAAAAGCTGCTCGTTCAAGATGGTGTTGTCCCTTCAATGAGAGGCCAGTGCTGGTGGCACGCCAGTAAGTGGTGAACCAGGACCCAACCTACAGTGGCAGCTGGAGGTAGACACTGGTGGCTCTGCTGAGGTGGCATCACAGCAGCCAGCAACACCTATCCAGAGTCCAAGAAGGCAGCACCAGCAGCAGCAGCAGCCACAGGAGGTGGTGCTGGTCATGTCAGAGGATCAGAAGTGGTGGGCAGCTCTTAGAGATGGCTAGATACAGGGCAGCAGCGAAGGTCAGTGCCAGTCAGCAGGCCCAGCGAGCAGCATTGGGCAGTTCTTTTGAATGGTCATTTGGATCAGGCACAGGCAGACAGCTCTTTTAGAGGAGGTGCCAGAGGGTCAGGCTTTTTCATGTACAGCTTTTTCAGAGGGGCCAGGTACAGGCCAGCAGCACCTATCAGCAGGTAATGTGGAAGCAAAGCCAAAGGCAGGAGCAGTGGTCAGGCAGACAGGAGGTTGTGCCAGAGGTCAGGCATCAGCAATGATGCAAAGTGATGAGTTGAGTAGGAGAACTGACAGCAGGGAATGAAGGTCCCGAAGATCTGAAGCAAAGGTCTCCACAAGTGCCAGAGTCTGCCTCTCTCTGAAATGAAGGTCTCAATGAGTCTCAAGGCCTGCGTGTGAATCTGTCTGCTGTCCCAGCTTATATCCTTTTCAGAGTGCTGAGTCTCAGACATGACTGGCCTGTTTTCAAAACTGTGTAGTTTTCAAAACTGAAACCCCACTGGTGCGTCAAACCCACCCTGGGCTGAGGTGAGCCATCTTGCGCTGGGGTCTAGCAGAGCTATACCCCCTATAGTATATAGTAACTGAAATACTTGCTTTTCTTGAAAATTTCCTGTTGTTTGCAAAAAGCTGTGTCTCTATTACATTTACCGAATAATGTAGGCATATGTATTATTTACCAACTGATAGGCATCTCCTTGCTCAGAATCAATGTTATTAAACCCACTTTTTTCATCCGGATTAATGTTCTAGATGTTATTAAGTTCAGAGAGAGAAATTATACTTAATAGACTAGACACGTGTAAAATGGCATGCAGCTGCATTTATAAGATCAGAACATGAACCGTATTAAGCTGTAATTAGCTCAATGTTTCGTGACATATCACTCAGTAACGACAACGTCATAGTGAGGAAGATAAAGATCTTTCCATTACAGGGATGTGTTCAGAAGCTTGAAACATCTGTTGTGATCTTCTCAGTAATACTTAGATGGGTGGGCATGTTCAAATAAGTTGTATTACTTATTTTAAGGACATTTCTAATATTCTCCATTCAGTAACTTTTGAGTTTGCTTTCAAAAACAATTTTTATTGAAAGTAATGACCAGATATTGTGTTAAAACTAAGTGACGCTGTTTTTCTCTAATATCTAGGTATTGAAGGTGGAGCAGTGCGGGTTCAAGGAGCAAAGGGGTCTCTCCCTTCTTCCTTTTATAAGGTCTTTTCTGTAATTTTGTTGCCTCTTTGGAGTTCAGGGAGGAGGCATGTCCCTCTGTAAGATATAGACATGGGGGTTTAATTCAGGGTGAACAGTAATTTCTTGTACTAACTTGCCTGAAAACATGGTGGGGGATAAGCCCAAGACCATCTTTGCTTTCTTGATATTGCTGATAAGTAATTATCCCTATGAAAATCATTGTTTTATTTAGGAAAAGGTAAACTTTATTTATTTGTGTACTTAGAATAGATGCAAGTAGTTTCTCACCAGGAGTTATGTGGTCCATTCTAGGGCATGTTATTGTTGGCAGGGATTAATACCATTGCTTATATATGTAACCTTACATCAGCAGGTAAGTTCTTGTTACCATGATGGTTTCAAAGCCACTGCTGTCTGTGTCCTGGGAGGGCCCAAAGCAACTGAAAAGGGAAGAAGAACAGCTGAAAGTATTCTAAAAAGGTTTGTGTATGAATAAAATAAAGACGGTTTTCCCAGTGTAACTAAATTTAAAACATGTTAGCAATCACATTACTCAACAAGAATCATTACTGTGATCACTTCACATTCACCCCCAAAACATCTGTATACCTATTCAACACATGGTATGTTAGGTGGCAGGTTATAAACTCATGAGCACTGCACCATCTAGTGTGCCGAGGTCCCATCAGCAAGGAAGTGTGAGAAAACATGTGGAGATGTTAAATTCTACTAGAAAACCTATACATTTTACCCCTTAACTTGGAGGTTATGTTCAGAGTAACATAATGTACACAGGTGATAAAAATCTAAGTAATAGATGTTTTGACAGATCACATGGCACCTCGAATTGTGTGGTGTCTGAAGCTCACTTTGTTGTCCCTAAAGTTCTCTTTTCTTTAATAAAAATCCAGATGAAGAAATTTCATTATATTTCTGTAACTGAATTTAATTAGACTTTATAAAATTTCTGATGCTTAAATCAATCATTTGCATCCTGTCCACAGTAGTAAGCTCCTTACCATGTTATGTATTAAAAACATGTTATTAGTTAATCAAGAGAATCTGGGTTAAATATTCAAACCCTTATTAATAAAAAGAAGTATATGTTGGTAATGTTAACACGCGGGTGAGGACCCACAGCCAAAAACCCGTTCAATATCGGGACTACTCTATAACAGTAAGAGACATGAAAAAACAAATTAGTGCTAATTTCTTTCTTAATAAGCAACTATATCAAATCATTTTATTCTTTTTTTTAAAATAATGGCATTTTATTTTTTTTAAACATTTTTTCAAAAGATTATTTTATTTTATACATACAAGAGCTGGGGCACAGGCCAGAGGGGGGGTGGTGAGCAGATTCATCAGAGACAGAGTGGGGAACAGAACAGGCAGACTGACTGAAATACACTGCTGAGGGGAGCAGCAGGCAAGACAGGAGAGGTCTGCTGCGCCATGTGGGTAGCTCCCCCGCCAGGTATTGAACTTGTGCTGCAGAGGCTGTGGATAGTTTCATAGGTTGCATCTCAACCCCTTGTGTCACCAGGGAGGCCCTCATTTTATTCTTTATCAACATGCTGACCATGAAATATTTAAAAGTACAGAAATATATGAGCAGAAAAATGAATCACTTAATAATCAAAATGTTTTAAAATTAAGGACAACTGCAATTTGTATTTTTAAGACCATCTAAGTCATTTACCCATTAACTCATTCTCTCTGAACTAGCATTTACTGAATACCTTACCACATGGCAATCACTTTAGGAACAACTCCATAGTCTTCAAATGTAATTGAGTACTTAACTCTTTTGTCATTATAATCCCAAATGAATGACCTCTATGAGGAACCCAAATTAGGGAAGTATTAGAATCTACTGTAAGTTCATGAATACATTTTTATCACATTTATTTTGCTGCAGAACCCGTCTTATGTTCAAAGAAGCTGGCTTGGAAGATTATAGTGAAGTTCAGGTTCAAATTTTAGGATCTGAAGAAACATATGGAGCACAAGCTAAAGCAAATTTAAATGAAGTGAGTATATCAGAAGATTTCTTATTCCAGTGTAAATGAATGAATTGGAATATTCTTAATTAGTTCATGTGTGCAAATGTTTGTTTTAAAAACCAACCTTGCTAATTTTCAGTGAACTATCAATTTGGGGTTACTTCTATTTTGTGATGTATATATATTTTTATAGTTATAGTTCTGTATCAAGCTTGTTATTCATTTTGAGCTTTCCTTCTGCCTATGGCAAAATTCACCCCAATTCCATGATATTCCTTTCTTGTTCTGAAACTGAGGGGTACCCAAACTGTTAAGGGGAAAAAAACCTATTTTGCCCATTTTACGGATCCAGCCACCCATGCACTCAAAGGAAGTAGTTGCTCTAGTGTGCTCAGAGATCTTTAATTGGTGAGTGGTTCAAAGTGAATAGGTAGAGAACAGAGGAGAAGGGGAGAGACACTGGATCAAATTCCAAAATGATGCATTCCCTCATGGGCAAACACCCTGCCAAACAGGGCAGACCCAGAAATGCAAAGTTGCCAGAAAAAACTCAAGGCACATCCTGGGAGGGAAAAACAAACAACAGGTTGTCCAGGGGCTCAGGAGGAGAGAGGTGAAATTCACAATATACCTTCCAAACTGGACAAGCCACCACAATGTCAAGATGACAGCCACCTTCATTCTTGAAGAGCCTGTCTGCCCAAGCCACACCTTATCTCTGCCTTATCTCTCCTTCCTCTGTGTTTCACCTCCTATATATACAATATATATACACCCCTTCCTCTTTCTGAGAAGCCTCATTCAGGAAGTCCAGTACTTAGCATACTGGGAGTGTAACAAGGTGGTCCCCAGGAAAGGGGGAGGTTCCCTGCCCCACCCAAGGGAGGGTGGAGCTGAGCAGGAAGAGGAGAAGCTGCAGAAGAGACTGAGGAAGGAAGCAGGATGGAGCCAGGAGACACGTGAAGAAACTGCGCTTGTCTTTTGGTCGTGGACTGGGTGACACAGATGTGGATGAGACCCGTGGGGAGGTGACAATGGCAGCTTTTATCTTGATGTTGATTTTGCTCTTTTCCTTCCGGGCTTGTCTGGTTGTTTCTGGCCCTTTGCTGTGGGTCTCCACTGGAAGATGCTTTAGACTTGTGGCAGGCTTTGGGGCCTTGCTCTGGGCCAATCCCATTTGGATGGACTTTTACCCACGAGGGGATGGGTAACTTTGGGTGCTTCATTTAGAAACTAGATTCTTTGCCTTGCCTGTATTGTTTTTTAGTTTTATTAAAGTTTCTTCCCATTAAAGTCTCATATGTTTTGTGTTGATGCGGCGGATGGCAGAACCCATTTAGAATAGGCAGGTTTGCGGGGTTTGGGCTGCCCCTCTCCCTGTCCTATAACAGGAGTTGTAGTGTAAAGCATCTGAGATGGTGACAGCATGGAAGTGGGGATGGAAGAAATGGTGCCCATTCCTGTGGTCTCCATAATGCTCCTTCCCCTGTAGCAGTTCCATCTTTAATATTTGAGTTATGTTTAGGCTCTTGAATGTCATGGATATGGTTTTCTTCCAAGGTTTTCAGAGAGCTACGAATATTTAAATTTTAATGTCTAGCTAGTTCTTAATATGTTTCCTTAACAGTAAGAGTGGAAGTAATGATTCTTCCATATTTGCTGGGAAATTTCTAGCTTTTCACCTGAAAAAGAGATTTAAGAATTAAGTTTTTTCAGAATCTACTGTGACCACCCATCAAAAATCAATTTTATAAATCTAATTTAATCTGAGGCATTCTGAGATTGTTTTTAAAACTATAATTGGCCAAAATAAACTAAATGAAATGTGATCAGTGACTCATTTAGTTATGGATAATTTGACCTGGTCGGGGTAGTTTTTATCTCTGTCCATATATTTATTCCTAGCAGCATCATTAAAAGTGTGTCTTCTATAAACTTTCCATCTGCATCTTTAACCTTTTTGAATAATTTCATAGAATTTTAAGACAGTGGTCATATTCACAAAGGTTTGATCATCTTATTTGTTCTGGATTATATACATTTTGATGTGTAGTGTTGCTTTCACTTAACCATTAATCAGAGATGGGAAGATGTGTGGGAATTAAGCAACAATGATGATTAATAGTAACTGAGAAGTTGATATGTGTCAGGCACTGTTCTAAGTCCTTTACTCCTGTTGTCATTTAACCCTCACCAGAACCCATTTATGATTGTCTGTTAGGTTTTCTGTTTCATACATGAGGAAATAAGGCACAGAGAGGTTGAGTAATTTGTCATCAAACAGCTATTGATGGGCAGGACCAGAATTTGAACCCCCCATGGTCCAGTTCCTGAAGTGGTATTTTTCACCACTAGAAGGATTGTTTCATTTTAGTGTGAAGTCCAGGAAAAGGATCTAAAACCTTTGTAACAGTTAGGAAGCCCTGAATAGCATAAAAAGATAATTTATTAAATTTTAGAAGAGCAGATAAAGAATATTATTTATGTTCTTAGATATATTAAAGTAAAAGTAACTCAAGTATATGTTTCCTAATCTTTATTGAGACTCTTTTCTGTTTAGGATTTTTTTCCTTCTTTATAAAATAGTAAGTTCAACATTTTATTTTGAGAACATTTTTTGGAAAAGAATTCTTGGCTTCGTAATTTTGGCAGTCAGTTATTCATTTGATTCCCAAAATGTCATATTCCTATGTATTATTTTGTAGACTTGTTTGTGGTAAGGTCAGAATATAAAGTTAGGGACTATTTAGAAGTGTATGAGAAATTCTAGAAGCTTAATAAAACCTACAGTCAAAGTATAGAAATTTCACTAAATGTAGAAATTTGTGCTCTATGAAATGCCAGATGGTTTAACTGTCATATTTAATTTATTAAGTTAGAACTAGTGACTGTAAAACTTAACATGAAAGCTTATTGTGTAAGCCAACTTCTAGTCTGTTTTGAAGATACTTTTTATTATAAAGGTGCTTGAAAACAGTACCTTGTATCATTTTTCATTGATGTGCCCATGCACCTCAATTTAGTCACATAATTAAGTTGTCAAATAGATTCACTACGTTGGTTTTAGATAGAGAGATTGACAGTAAACATAATGGGAAAAGTAGAAGTTTAATTATTGGTCTTATTCAACCATTATATCTCATATATGTACTTGAAGACATGTTTCACATCTGATGCCACATTGTTTCATCATAATAGCTCTAAGAAGTAGTTAGGAAGCTGATAGGATCTGCATTTTACAAAAAGGGAAATTAAGTTATGGAGAAATGAACTGACTTAATTAAGGACACTCAGGTCTTCAAAAGAAGAGCAGAACTAGACCTCACCCTTCTACTCAGTTCTATTGTACTTCCAGGTGACCACATCTTATAAAAAAGGTAATTGCTGAATTCTTAAATATTTCAAATATGACCTTTTATTTATATACTTATATACTATAATTATGTTTTAAACCAGGATAACTGATTATTGATTCATTCTATAATAAAATATGCAGTAACTTGGATTATTTGTGTTGTAGATATTCTTTAGGAGAAATTGAGCAGCAGCAGATATAAACATTTAATTGAAACACCTGTCACTTGAAGAAAGCAATGAATATCAATTAAATAATAGAGAGGAAAAAAGACAAAGGAATTTTACAAATACAATTTTAGCTATTTTCTAAGATATCATTACCATGTGTCAAGTTGTATATAGTAAGGTAAAATTATTTTTAATTTATACAGTATTTATTTTTAATAGGATGCTTACTTTCATGAACATATGTGGCAAGATTAGGAACACGTCTAATAAAGAATTCCTTCTAGCAATCATGCATATCAGATATATTTATATAGTTCAAGAAAAAAAAATCTTTCACCAATAGCAAATACAGATTTGTGCCTTATTTTGAGGTGTGCATTTGTTAATTTGTACTCTTTGATAATAGGGTCCACGAGAAGTGGTCCTTTGGCTTTCAGTACATCATAGACAGAGGAAAGCAGTGGAACTTTTTTCTAAAGAAGTTGCACCAGCAGCGACTGGAATGGGTAAATATACGTATTTTTACAGCTACAACTCTAAGAATCCATTAGCAATAATATTTATTAGCAGACTCTTCCAAACTGGGCATTGCATGCTTAGCCACCTGGTCTGTGTTCACTGCTATATTAACTGCTCTTATGTCTTTGAGTATTTTTTTTTAATTTTTTTATAGATTTATTTATTTTTATACAAGATCTGGGGTACAGGCCAGAGGCGCAGGAGGGTGAGAGGCTTTACCAGAGACAGAGCGGGGAGCAGAACAGGCAGACTGGAGAAATACATTGCTGAGGGGAGCAGCAGGCAAGACCCGAGAGGTCTGCGCGCCATGTAGGAATCTCCCTGGCTGGCCGGGATCGAAGCGCACTGCAGAGGCTGTGGTCAGCTTCACAACGTGGCACTTAACCGCCTGCACCAGCAGGGAGGCCCGTCTTTGAGTATTTTAATACCACTAAATATTTGTGAAGTATATGCTTTTCCTTGTAATATTTACCTCAAGCTTATCAAAAATTTAATAATATACTGACATGAACTATGTATTTGTCTAGGATGAATTTGCCAAATGGTAAATCTAGGTGATAGTTCCAGACAACGCAACCTGGTAAAATTCATTTTGGGTTTGCTCTGCCCCATCTTGTGTTCTAGTTCCCCACAGAACCTTCCCCAAAGCGCTCTTGTTTTTCCCTCACCAGGAAGTAGACCTGTTGCCATCACTGGACCAGGCCTCTCAAGGCCTTAGTTTTGCTAATCCAGTGACATGCATTTATTCACTGGGGACATACTTTTGAAAGACCTTGAATTCCCACACTTTACATCTGGAGAAACTAAGGCGTAGATGGGTGAAGTTGGCAACATGAGAGTTGGCAGCAACCCTCTTTTGGCTCCCACAAAGAAAATTTTCTGGTAATATTAGTGCCATATGAAAAAGTTCTAGTCTATTTCTACTTCTTTCTTCTTCCTCTACTGCTTGATTAAAAATGAATGGAATAGAAAATTAAGTTTTGGCTATGCAAGATTTGCATTTTAAAATTCAAACAATGTAAAATCAACAAGCAGGACTTCATCAAGTTAAAAAGCATCTGTATAGCAACAGGAAATAATCAACAAAATGAGAAGGCAACCTATGGGGAAGTATTTGCAAACCATGTATCTGACAAAAGGATAAAATGTAAAATATATAAGGAACTCATAGAAGCCTGCAGCCAAAAAAAAAAAAAAAAAAAAAAAACTATTAAAAATGAGCCAGTGTCTTCAATAAACATTTTTCAAAAAATGACCAATAAATAACTAATAAATATATGAAAAAGTCTCAACATCAGTGGAAATACAAATCATATCCAAGTTTGTATTTTTAATTTTTGTATTATTTTTCTTTCTTTTTTGTTTAAGGTTTACTTATTTATACAAGAATTGGGGTACAGGCCAGATGTGGGGGAGGGTTAAGAGGATTCACCAGAGACAAAGTGGGGAACAGAAGGCAGACTGGCTGAACTACACTGCTGAGGGGAGCAGCGGGCGAGACTGGAGAGGTCTGCTGTGCAGTGTGGGTTTTTCCCCTGCCGGCTGGGATCAAACCCATGCTGCAGAGGCTGCAGACAGCTTCACAGCACTGCGCCCAACTGCCTGCACCACTGGGGAGGCCCTGTGTTATTTTTCTTGACAAAGTTCTTGCAAATTGTGTTAACTTCAAATCTCACAAAACCAGAACTGCTTCACTTCTAGTTAATGCTGAGTCTGCTACTTGATTTTAATATTGAAGATGTTACAAAACTTTTAAAAGCCAGTTTCTTCTTGTTTCTAAGAATAATTAATAAAAATGCCCAGAACCTCTACAGAGTTACAGTTACAAAGGAAAGAAAGGAAGAAAAGGGGCAAGGGAGAGAGAAGCAGAGAGAGCATGTTCCAGAAGGAGCAGAAACAGTGACCTTGGTGAAATATTTCTGTGGTGTGTGACTCACTCCTGCCTCTTCTTCAAGTTGCTCATCATTTTTCTTTCTCTTGGATGACTTGGGGTTGCCATTTTGGACACGGGAACTGTCTATACTCTATAGACTCTTCCTTTACTTCCTGTTAATCTTCAGATGTCAGAAAAATAAAATTACCCAATTTGTTTAAGTCACTGTTTTTATAGTTTTTGTTGCAGTTGCACATACTTTCTAGATGATACTGAACTTGGAAGTTTAGAATTCTGGGCCAATTTTTCATATTCTTTCTTGTGATGCAACATTCACAACATAGAGTTTACTTTCTGGGCTGCCACCTGGGACAATTGAACAAAATTTTGTATCACCAAGTAGTGAGTTACCAGCTTTCTGCTTTGGGGAGATGTGCCTTTGCTGCTCATGGCACCACTTCTTTCAGTAATCAATTCCATATATTAGATGGAAGCATCCTATTTCCTGCTACTAAGCTGTATATAGGTCAAGGTTCTCAATCTCAAATACAACTCTAGGTAGTTTAAGAAGATGGAGAATTATTGAAAGTTACCAGGTGCCTCCCAGAATCTTGGGAGAGCAATAGAACCAGTTTTAGATATTACTCTGTCAAAACAAAACACAGTGAAATAACCAGAACAAACACAACTTTAGGCAGGTAGGATGCTATCTCAGACAACCCCTATGGCTCTGCCACCTGCTCTCCATCATCACAACCACTTCTCATCATTCTTTTCTCCCCCAAGTCCTCGCTAGATGTCTGTGGCTGCCAGCAACTTTGGCCACAAGTCTGCACCTTAGCTATAAGAAGTCTGGGAAGTGTGAGCCAATCTGTAGAATCTGCCAGTTCCCTGTTTCCTTGCCATTTTATTGTGAGATTTTATACAAAGTGCTCAATCTCTCTAATACATTTTTTCCCAATACTTAACATGAGGAGATTGGACTCCATGTACACCAAGAGTCCTTATAGTAACACAAGTCTGTGTCTGTTCTACTTAGGATTCTGGCTTCTTGTGATAGAGTTCTTACATAAACTAGTGAAAGCAAGTCAGTGGAATTTGTTCACTCTTATAACCCAATTGTGGGAAGAACAGGGGTGTAACTGGCTTCAGGGGCTCTAGTCCTTCTGGCCTCTCACTGTCCCCACTGCTTTTTCTGTGTGTTGGCTGTAAAGACCAGCTGCTCAGCAGAGCTGAGGGACAGCCCCTGACAGCTCCAAGGCTCACATGCAGGCAACTTTGAGATCACAGAGAAGACCTCCTCTTTCCCAGAGTCAGTTTCTAAGGCCCAGAAGAAGTCCCTGGATGAAGCAGACTTAGTTTGTACATCCATTCTGTGGGCAGAGGAGTGGCATCTTTAGCCAGAGAAGGGTGTCATCAGGTGTGGCCACCAGAAAAGTTCTTGAGAGAGCCAGGCACCCCAGTCTGTGACCAGTACAGATTCTAAGATCTAGCGTGTCACGGTGTAGCACGTGGAGATTATTCCTTTGTTTTCAGTCTTTTGTGATTGTGTATCTCATTACCAAGCACCTGCATTAAGGGAGCTGAAACTTTAATTGTTGCTTGAATAGCAGAGGAGTTTGAAGTCTGTGCTGTTGCCAGATAATTTAATACTGTTGGGGAAAGATCTGAAATCCTAAAGCAGATGAATATGCTACTTGAAGGGATGCATTGGCTGAAAAGTTTTTGTCAGTCATTTTGCCCCAAATCATATTTCCAAGTCAAATCCAGTTTCACTTGAAAGATTATTGGTCAAGTATAAACTTGTTGGCGTTTTCTTGAACTTTTTTTGGCTTTGATCTTTTCACACATGTCTTGACTGTGTTGTTATACTCACAGTCCTTTCCGTTGGAAAGTTACATAATTGTATGGAAATATATTTAGCAAAATATGACAGTGTGGCCATTTGGACTTGCACTTTATGAACATAGCTTGTAGAAGAGAAACAAAGTGATTTTTCTCTTTGGAATCAAGAAGTAGGTAGCTCAACCTAAATTTTACCTGGACTACAAATAGCATTTTGTTTATTCATTTATATTGCATTGGCACTGTTGAAATGCTACTTTGTTGGCTAGTCAATATATTGGCCTTTGGTCCATCATACAATTGAATTTGTTAATTTCATAATCTGAAGCACATGCATGTTAAGTCGAGAAAACTAATTACAGTAAATCTTGGAAATAATCTGGATCTTTCAATAATTCATCCTTATTTCTGAACTACTCATAATACTGTTACATAAGGGTCTTATTTTTTAAATTGTTATAATCTTAATTGCTTCTGCTTCTCTGATGATTAAATTAGATTTTTATATTTACATGTCATGTCAGAACTCTTGATTGCATTTTGTACTCTTTTCCTCATGGACAATCCATATATTTATAGTTCATGGCTTTTACATATTCTACTTAATATTTTCTTTCTGGAAATTTTTATTGCAATTGGAAATAACCAACTTATATATCTCAGGGATGATAGAGGATCACTCTCTGCTCTTAAAAGTGATCCGAAAGAGATAGTCCCCCCCAATTTTATTTGGGGGTTAGACAATAAACTGAGAGAATAAACTTTAGAAAAGGCCACAATATAGCAGACTTTGGAATGATCTTCACAGTGAAGTTTCTAGAATGAATAATGAAAAAATGACTATGCCATTTTATTTTAGATACAGAAGAAAAAATCGAATTGGCATTATCTACCTAATGAACCTCAATATTAGGTGTAAATGTTTTTTGATAATCAGTGCTAAGCTTGTATAGACCATACTGGGTTTTAGGTATTTTTGATTGTAGATAACACTTTGTCAATTTTCTTTCTTTTTTTTATTTCTATGCATTTTATTTATGAACAAGCATAAGATCCCATGTGACCTAGGAAATAGAAGTACAGAAGTATGCAATGGGGACTTACAGTTGGAAGTTTAAACAGAGTTCAATAAATATACACATTTCCCTAATAGGAAAAGAATAAGAAAAAACCCTTATTCGACCTTTGTTTCACATTAAAATGACCGGAGTTTGACACCAAAATGACAGCTGGTTAAAACAGCTTGAGATTGCAAAGTGCTTGAGTAAATATAAATATTATGACTGATCTCAAAGTGTATTGGAAAACACTTTAAGAAAGGTCCTTGGTTTAACAGTTTGTTATATTCTCTTTTGGTTCAAGGGAAATCTACCGCCCAAATTTTTATCTTCTCAATGTAGAGGAAGTGAAATAATTAAAAACATGGAGTTGAACTCAACAGACTCAAGACTGAAGGTTACTGTGAATGTAAATTATCACTCTGAGCACAAACCTAGGATATAGATTCCTGTAGTTTGATAATGGGACAGATACTGCTCCAAATTAATTTTTACAGTAGTAGTAAGAGTATATAGAAAATGTATCACCAAAATTTATTTTTGTGTTTCCTTTTCTACAACAGAATATGGGAAGGCAAAGAGTACTTTTGGGGGTCAAGGGCACATCATGGAAAGATCATTCCTATACTCTTGTCTAACGTAGTCTACATGACAGATCAAGCCTCTATGCCTTAAAATTGTGTTGACCTTATTTTTTAAATTCTCATTCAAGCTACTGTTTATTGTAAATATTATATAATTTATTTGGAGTCTTCTGTGCAGTTTTTCCTGGGCAAGAAATACTTGGGTTGACAGAATTGGAAGAATAGGAAGCAAGTTTAATAAACAAAAGTCAGAATGATGTAGTTTGTTATTAGACAGAATAGATTAAGATTATCAGCAGTACAGAGTTCAGGCAGAAGTTTTCCCATGAGGCTTGTAGCATTTATAAGAAGCATTAGAATCAATTAGTGGAGAATTAATTCAAAAAAGTGAAGTTTGACAAGAGCCATGTAATCAGGGTGTGAGGGCAGATTTGAGAAAGCCTGTGTTCATCTCCAGCAGGCAGGTGACTGAAAGAAGAGGGAGCTGGCTTAGTTGGCATATGTTGAGATGATTATTTTTATATCTAGGTTTACTTTTTAATTAAGAAAAGATAATGAGTGCAAGAAGTCCAGAATTAAAACAATGCAACAAAATCAAGTGAGAAGTCAGTTTCCTACTCCATTCTTTTTTTTTTTTTTAAAGATTTATTTATTTATTTATTTATACAAGCACCGGGTACAGTCAGAAGCGCGGGAGGGTGAGAGAATTCACCAGAGTCAGAGCTGGGAACGGAACAGGCAGACTGACGAAATACACTGCTGAGGGGAGCAGCGGGCGGCAGAAGAGGTCTGCGCGCCATGTGGGACCATCGCTGGTGGCCGGGGACTGAACAGGCGCTGCAGAGGCTGCGGGCAGCTTCACAGCCCAGTGTTCAACCTCTGCACCACCAGGAGAGGCCCTCCTGCTCCATTCTTAGCCTTACTTCTGTCTGTGGAAGTGCTTAAGTCAAGTTTCGCACTTTACCACAAGCATGAGAAAGTAAATACACCTTTGTGCGTCTATTTCCTGAAATGTTTATTTCCTTTCTTCTTCCCTTCTTTCATCAATAACTTCACAAAGAAATTTCTCCAGTCCAAATTAGGTCTCCTTATTAGTTTCTCTCATTAAATGGATAAAATTATATTTTTATTAGTCTGGATTTTAGGTAATATCTCTTTGTACCACATTTTACTTTATCAGGTAGGAAGTGTGAAAGAAACATCTTGTTGATATTCAAAAAATTTGAGTTCTGTTAGTGTGTTAGAATGGCTGTTATCAAAAAGACAAGAAACAAGTGTTGGTGAAGATGTGGAGACAAGAAAACTTGTGCATTGTTGTTAGGATTATAAATTGGTGCAACCACTATGGAAAATAGTACAAGGATTACTCAGGAAAGTGAAAATAGAACCACCATATGATCTAGTAATCCCACTTCTGAAATAGTTTTTGTTTTTCAAAGGAAATGAAAACACTAACTACTTGAATAGCTCTATTCACTTCTGTGTTCCTTGCAACATTATTCATAATAGACAAGATATGGAAACAAACTAGGGCCCATAGAAAGATGAATGGATAAAGAAAATGTGAGCTCTCTATCTCTCTGTACATTCACATAGTCTTACTCAGCTAAAAAAGAAACATAGATGGATCTTCAGGACTTTATGCTAAATGAAGTAAGTCAAAAAGAGAATGTCAAACCACATGATCCCACATATGTGTGGAATTAAAAACACAACAGTGGACTCATGGACTGAGAGAACATACTAGTGTTCTGGAAGCTGGGGGAGGTGCTGAGGGCTATGGAGGGTGGAAGTGGGGCCAGGGGCAGGAGGGGCAAAATGGATGAGGGGGTCAAAAGTTGCAAACTTCCAACTATAAAATAAATCATAGGAATGTAATGTACAGCATAGTGACTAGAGTTAATCATACTCTATGGCATATTTGAAAGTTGCTAAGAGAGTAGATCTTAAAAGTTCACAGCCCCAAGAGAAAAAAATTGTGACTCTACGTTGATCATTTTGGAAGATACACATATGTCCAGTCATTATGTTGTTCACCTGAAACTGCTATCATACTGCATGTCAATTATATATCAATGAAAAGCAAACAAAAAAGAGATCTGAGTTCTGATCCTACCACATGTGATTGTGGCCCTCAGCAAACACTTCTTTGGGCTTCATTTCTCTCATCTGTAAACTGGGGAAACTAGACTAGCTGACTTCTAAGGCCCTGTAATTTATAATTTTAGAATACAAAGAGTATTTAGTATCAAGTGAAATCCACATAAATATTGAATGCTGAATCTTTGAATAATGTGAAATACACCTAAGTATTGCATGCTTATATAAAAGATTGTTTTTGTATAATGTACAAATAAGTTTATTTAACTTTTTTTCAGAGCAACTTGACTTTGTGATTATTCACCATAGTATATTTTCTTTTACAAATGTGTCAAATACTAGGTATCCGTAACATTTAAAAATGCACTTAATATACAGGTAGGATATTCTAATGTGCCAAACCTTAATTGTTTTCTTATAATACTCTCCGCTATATTTTAAGGCATTTTTTTTACACAGTCTGTAATTTGAGTTATTAGATCACACAAATCTTTTTTTCATTCTTGTTTTTGATTAAATTATAAATCCACTAGAGGGTGCATACGGGCAGAGAGAAAGAAAAGTTTGTGCAATGCTTTACTCTCCATTTCAAATTCAGAGGCTCTGTTTAAGGGAAGACTACAAATTTTTGTTGCATTTGGTTTTTGGAGCAAAGGGAAGAGGTCCCCATAAAAAAAAAAAAAACACAACAAATGAGAATTTTCTGAAGTTAATTTTCAGGATTCTGTTCATGGTGAAAATAGTGAATTCTACAAATTGAATATTTAAATTAGAAGAAGGCAGCAAATAAATACAATTTGATTTTTTTAAAGATTTATTTTTTTATGATTACAAGAATTGGGATACAGGCCAGAGGTGTGGGAGGTGAGAGGATTCACCATAGAGAGCGGGGAATAGAACAGGCAGCTAGACCAAAGTACACGGCTGAGGGGAGCAGCGGGTAAGACAGGAGACGTCTGCTGCACCATGTGGGTAGCTCCCTGGCTGGGGATCAAACTCGCACTGCAGAGGCTGCGGCTGCTTCACAGTGCTGTGCTCAACCCCTTGCGCCACCAGGGAGGCCCTGCAATTTGATTTGTGATGGCAGTTGTTTCCCTCTTATGTCTTTCAGCTTTCTAAGTTGACTAATGACTGGACTCTGTTCCATAAAAAATTTTAATTGTCATGTAATTTCTGCATTTATTGACTCCTGTTCATGACCTCTGCACACTGTTTTAACCTGGATTTTCTAGAGTAGTAGAACCCTATATTAAAAATTAATCCCTTGTTTTAATGGACTACACTGGGATTATATTATAGTAATTTAGCAAACTCTTAAGAGAAGGAAATTGTTTTAATTTTTTCTTTTTCTTCAGCCCCTGGTCTGACAGCAGCAGTTGGAGGTCGTCCAAAAGTGTAAGTTTCCCGACCATATGACAAAGTTAGTCTTTTCTATATTGTCTGGATAAGGGTGAGAACAGGGCAGTGCTGGGGACTAGAGACCTGTCTGCCTGCCATGTCTTGTTCAGGGAGCCTGGCGGGTGGTTCTTGGAGGGTGAGTTGCCTTATCTGAGAATCAGTGGTGCTGATCCTGGCAGAATAGGACCGGGGCACTGATCCCTGGGGTTAAAGTTCTCAGGAGATAAATGGCTTTTCCAGGGACTAGCACAATAAGACTGGGCTAATCTATTTTTCCAGCCACTAATCTAAAGGGAGATATTCAATGTATTGACCAAAGAAGAGGACTTACTGGGCTTCACCTAAAAAACCAGAGGACAGTGGTCACCTCGTTTGGGCTGTGCCCTCTGTCAGAATTTCTGCTTTATTCTTTCTACAAACAATTTTATTTGCAGACAGTCAACAAGTTCTTGTACTTCAGGGGAATTTTCTAGCAGCTTGCGTTCTATTCTTTTGAGATGAGATAAGAGATGATGGGTCCAGATTCCCAGATTCCAGGATATGTCTGTGTCAATTGAATGAGGAATGCATGGATCCTCTTTCTGTCCAAAGACAGCTAAAGATGGAAAAGAACCTCAAAATAGTTGTCTGTTGTGTCTGTTCCTTTTTGTTTCTCTCTACCTTCTCCTGAAACCTCTACACCAAGCGCTCCACCTTGCCCCCTCCTCAGAGCTGCCCATGTCTGGGTCTCATGTCAAGTTTATTTGCATGTGATCATCTTATTTGCCTCCTGAACACAGTTTGACACCATTGGTCATTCTTCCTCTCCTTTATTTATTTTTTTAAAAATTTATTTCTTTATACAAGCACTGGGTGCAGTCAGAAGTGTGGGAGGGTGAGAGAATTCACCAGAGCGGGGAGCAGAACAGGCAGACTGACGAAGTACACTGCTGAGGGGAGCAGCGGGCGGCAGGTGAGATCTGCGTGCCATGCGGGACCCTTGCTGGTGGCCGTGGATCGAACCGGCGCTGCAGAGACTGCGGGTAGCTTCGCAACCCAGGGCTCAACCACTGTGCCACCAGGGAGACCCTCTTCCTGTCCTTTAAATGTGTTCTTAGCTTGGCTCTCAAGCCATTCCTCTTGTGGTTATCTCCCGCCCCATCGTCTATACTCCTCCTTGTCTGTTCATCTTCCTCTTCCTCCCTGACTTCTAAGCAGAGTGGCCCTTGGACTGCTCCTCTTTACGCCCTATGATCTCATCCCATCTTCCACCTTTAAATACCACCTCTATCTTAATGGTCACATATTTATTTCCCTCGCTTCTCTGTCTCCTTTGACCCTGAGACTTAGATAAACTGTCTGCCTAACAGCTCTGTTTGGATTCCTAGTAAACATCTCAGGCTTGGTATGTTCCAAACTGAACCCCACCACACCCCCATCCAACCAGCTTCCTCTGTGGTCTGTAATGGCAACTGCTCCCTTTTTCTCATCCATGCTAATCTGTTAGTCAGCAATAACCCTGTTACTTCGTCTTCAAAAATATGTCAAAAATTGGACCACTGCTTATGACCTCCACTGTCGCCTGCCCGTCCCTGCACCATCATCTCTGGCCTGAATTATTATCTCCCTAATTTCCACTTCCCAGTATCATCTCTTCTCAAAAGAGAATGAGCCTTATTTTCTACTTTTAAAATTAACCCTTATTGAAGTGATATTGCATTATGACATTGTATACATTTTCATTGGGAATCATTGTAGGGCAACATCTGCACAGACTTACATTTAGTCTCCCATTCACATTCCCGTTCCCTCCTTCACCATACAATTGAGAGAGTGAGCCTCAAAGTGGGGTGATGTCACTCCTTTGTTCCAAATCCTTCACTTTACCTAAGGAGAAAACCAGAGTCGTTAAGGTGGCCTAGTGTGTTCTCTACCCAGTCTTTGGGTAGAGAGTCTTTGTTCTCTACCCAGTCTCTACCCAGCCCCACCCTGGCTCAGGCACTCAGCTGCTCCCCCTGCAGTGGCCTCCTTTGTGGGTTCCTCAGGGGTGTTACACATTCTCCTACCTCATTCAAAAGCTCAAGGCTCCTCTCACTTCAGGTCTTGGCTCAAAGGTCACTCTCTCAAAGACAAGCACCTGACCATCCTATTTAATCTTCTAACATTCCTGTTGTCCTTTCCTGCTTTGTTTTTTTTTTTAAGGTGCTTATCCCTAGCTGACCTACTATCTATTTCACTTATTGGTATTCTTTATTATATATATGTTCCTCCAAGCCTGACCCTCCTCCAGCCATATGCCCTGTCCCCCTATTCTCTTAAATATAAGCACTTTTGTTTATGTTCACTGTTGAACCCTTAACACTGAAGGAGTGTAAGCCCTTACTAGATACTTGTAAAATGAATGCATGATTTAAAATGTCACTGGGTACCCTAAGTGACGTGATGGAAGTATTCTATTTCTCCCTGTGAGTCAAGACAGTAATACCTCATGAACTTTTGTTGTGTATGTTTGGGTGACTGTTAAGCAAATATCGAGTCTCCATACTGTGGCAAATCCTGCCCAGCACTTGGGATAAAAATGTGAGCAAAACTTGGCTCCATGCTCGAGAAGCATGTGAAATTTAAAATTTCACTTTGCAATACTTAATATTGACAAAGAAAACATTAAAGTAACACATACCTTATATTAAAAATCTATAAAGAATAATAAATTCTTCTATGTCCACCTTATACCTGAAGAAATAAAATATTACCCATGCAGATAAGACCCCACTTTATTCCTCTCCATTTTTATCTTCTCCCTTCCTGCCACAGGCTAACTGCTATGCTGAACTCCCTAGCGTTTTAAAAATTACTTTTTCTAGGGGGCCTCCCTGGTGGTACAAGGGGTTAAGCACCGAATTATGAAGCAATCCTCAGCCTCTGCAGCATGAGTTCAATCCCCGGCCAGCCAGGGAGCAACACACATGGCGCAGCAGACCTCTCCTGTCTTGCCCACTGCTCCCTTCAGCAGTATATTTCAGTCAGTCTGTCTGTTCTGTTCCCCACTCTGTCTCTGGTGTATCCTCTCACCCTCCACATCCTCTCACTCCTCTCACCCTCCACACCATCTCTTGTATGCATAAATAAATAAATGTTTTAAAAATTTACTTTTTCTGCAGGTGAATCCTTTAATAAACCATGCATAGTTTTATCTTATATATCTGTCACAATTCAGCTCTTTTTCACAGTGTTCTTTATAAGATTTACCTATGTTGCTATATGCAACCATTTGTTTTTACTGCTGGGTAGTATTCCATTTGCTTATTCATTCCCCTCTTAATGGACATACAGGTTGTTTCCAGGTTTTTGATATTATAAATATCAAAATATTCATATTTTGGCCTAATATTCTAGACCAGTGCTGTCCAATAGAACTTTTTGTGCTCTGGAGATGTCTGCTATCTCCACACTATTGCAGCCACAAGAATTTATCCAGGACAGTGATATTCAATACTGTCAGACCCGATACAGTCTTCTTATGACAAATATATTTTGTATCATCCCATTTACTATCTTGAAATGAAATTCATAAATAACTTCAGTCCACTCAAATGTAATTGTACTTGCTGTAACGTAAAATAAAAAATAGATGAAAAATATACTTAATAAAATAGTAGGTAATTTCAATACATGGGTGGTTCCAAATGTACTATAGTACAGTAGGAGACAAAATGAGTCCACAAATGCAGACTCCTAAAGGTATGTGATGTGCAAAACTCAGACCTCCAAGTGAGCAACTCTTCATAAGGTTCTGAATAAAACAAAATAAAATCTTCCTTTTCTAGCAGTTGTATCCCTGGAAAATGTGCATGTATTTACATCTTATGTACATGGTATTTATATCTAAAAAGAGCTATATCTTAAAAATACTGTATATAGTCTTAAATAATTATAAATAGATTTGCCATACACATAAAACAGAAAACCCTGTTACTATCTACTGGATATAGCTAAGCAGGTGGCAGCTATATTCAACAACATGGGTGAATCTCACAAACGTTCTATTGCCAAAACATAATTCCATTTATACAGATACATTTTGGGGGATTATTTTGTTTGGGGATGCATGCTTAGGTGGAAGAAAAGTCAGGAGAGCAGTATCTTTGTTAGGGACAGTAGTAATTGGGAGAAGGCAGGGGGGAAGCTTCTCGGGTGTAGACAAAGGTCTATTTCCTGATATTGGTCGTGATTAGGTGGATGTTGTTTTGTGATAAGTTATCAAGTTGTACTTGTTTGTTCCTTCAACTTTTCCCTATAACTATTTCAATATAAAAAGGTTTAAAAACTGTCTAAGGATCACAAGATATTTAGTTCCATAAATGTATTCTTACACATTATAAAATTTAATAATAACATAATTTCTGTCTAGATTCAACCCTTGGCTAATTCAATCCACAAATATTCAGTGCCTGCTCTCTGTGTTTCTGTTTATAATGTTTATGGGATTTTCTATTGTTGTCTGTCTCTATTACATAAGTAGATTTCCTTCTGACCCTCATATTTGTGACTGAACTGAAATACTAGATAACACCAAAGTTCATTTCTCTCTGTTCATGTCTAGAAAGTTCACCTAGACTTCTTTTGGGTACTCATTAAGTCTTAAGGGAGAAGGCCAGAAGAAGGAAGAAGAAGTTGGTGAAATCCATAGGTAGTATAAGAAAACCAGCTTCAACTTTTTAATGACTTCAAATGCTTGATTTTCATGTATATACAAATAACTTCTGATGGAGAAATATTCATCAGATTAAATGAAATGCAAACAAGAAATAGGTCAGTGTATATGACCAATAATAGATAAAGGTGGGTCAGGTGGGACAAATGAATAGAATCTGTGGAAACCCTCTTTTACCTCCCTCTTTTCTGGGCCCGTGGTCTGTAAAATGAGCACTTATTGTCCCTTCTTTTGCATTTTAACTCTAGATCTCCTGTTCTAAAACCATTTTTCATCTTATATCCGAAAAAGAAGGTTAAGGTAAGAGAATCCCCTTAATCTACTACAGTGGTATCTTAGTCGTGCATTCAAGCTTGTGTGACTTTGGTGTTTTTTGGAGAAGTTTAGTCTTGACAAACTTCTTTAACTATATTGTTTACTTGATTAAAAAGAGAAAAACTGTGGATTGGTGTGGGTGGAGAATGGATGTAGGGTAAAGAAAATATCAGGCTTTTCTGCCCTTCCACCATCAGGATAGATGATGGATCCTTGTCCTGAATGCATGCCTGATGGCGGGCACCTGGAATAGGGTGTGGGCATAGGTAGATGGATTCAGCTGAGCTAAGACTGTGCTTTTAAGGGCGGCGTCACGGGGTGATGCCAGCAGCCCCAGCCAGCAGCAGCAGAACCTGAAGGAGAAGCCGAAGCAGAAGCAGAGAACGCCAGAGAGCCCAGATAGAGTAAAGACTTGCTGGGGGCTGGGAGGCCTGCCAGCCTCCCAGCCCCCCAGCCAGCACCCCTGCCTGCCATATGCCTGGTGAACCCCAATAAAAGACCTGCAAAACCACTGAGGACTCTGACTCCTCCTTTACCTGGTCTGCATGGGATCAGAAAACCTGCACCTGTGCCCAGTACGGCCCTTACAATGGATCACCCCAATTACTTGATTGTTCCAATTAAGTGCTGGTAAACTGTCCCTTGAATTGCGTCTTCACTCTACCAAGTTAGCTTCTCAGATGGGCGTATTGCCTATGACTGCTTTTGGATGTTTTTGTCAGGGTGACAAGATCATATTAGATAATGTCTCGGAGGTCTATTTAGCAACATTCAGGTACGCTATTTAGTCTTCACGATAATACTAAATGTTGTGTTTTGGGATGCCCATTTTATAGAAGGGGAGTTTCCCAAGGGCACATGATTAGAAAATGGCGGAGATAGAAATCAAACTACTGTGTCTGACTCTAAATCTGACATTTGTTCAAAGATGACATTCCTTTAGCAAAGACTGCTGGTTGCCTATCAACAGCCCTTAATTAGAGCTTCTTGCCCTTAATTAAAGCTCCAATTTTGTTTTAGTGTCCTATTCCCACAGGTGCCTCAGTTGAATCTGATTTGTTTAAGCCTAAAGAAAATCCCTTCCCCCTGTTGTGACCAGAGTAAGGGTTTGAAACGTGACCTGCTTTGGCCAGTGAGGTTGTAGGGAAATAGTCCGATGCTATGGGCGGGGGAGGGTTCTAAGATAGGATTTTTGTTGCCTTTTTAACCAAAAAAAAAACAAAACAGAAACAGCCTTTTACCTGACTCCTAAGTGTTGATTATGAAGGTGATGATGCTGTTTTGCTGCCTGGAGAGGAAGCCAGAAGATAGTCCTAGGTGCTGGGCTCCAGGGTTGCTCAGAAGTGGTAACTACCACTCAAGTCTTTAGTTTTATTCAGCCAGTTACTTGAGAGCTTTGGCTATCAACCAGCTGACAGGAGTGTCAGTCCCTCTAAAATACTGACATGGTCAAAACTAACTGCACATCATTTTTAAATATATTTAAATGGACATACAGGATGACATGTGATTGTGGTTTTTGGTGTTACTTCATGGAAATGGGGTGTCCTGACTTAGTCATTAATTCACTAACCATTTACTAGGTGCCTGTTGCTGGTAAGTACTTGGCTAGAGTTACATATGTCGAAGAAGATGCTCAACCAACCTGTTTAGGGAACAGGAAGGGTCAGGAAGGAATAGTTAGAGAGGAATAGCCTGGGAAGTCTCTGCACTGGAGCTGACAAGAAGTGACACATGAATCTAACCTTAAAGACCAGTAGGAGTTGTCTGGGTAGAAAAAGAAGGAAAAGGCACTCCCTGCAAGGCAGTATAGGAGCTGTACAGTCAAGGAAGCACAAGTCGTTGAGTATATAAGGTAGACACTGGGAAAGGAGTCTACAGAGGTGAACAGGGTCTGGTCACAAAGGGTGTTGTGGCCAAACTAGGGTGTAAGACCATTATGTGAAAGCAGTAGGGGGTTATTGCAGGATATAAGTATGTATGAAACACCATGATACTTGGACTTTAGGAAGATCCCTTTGACAGCAGAGAGGAGGGCAGAAATGATAAGAAGCAGAAATCAAATAAAATCAAGAGGGTCCTTTAAAGAGATTTTTAGGCTGTGGTTTAGATAGAACTTAGTGACCGGTTATGAGAGATGACTAGATAGTGGAGTAGGTTTGCAAAGAAGTGCAGAGCAAGCAAGAGGCATGGAGAAGGATGCGAGACTGTGCTGAGGGGTCAGCTGAGGCTAGAGCTGCTTAGTTACAGCTCCAGTGCTTGGTTGAGCAGTTTACTTAGTGTGGTTTTAGGCACAAAGGTTGGAATGATACTTGGGTAAGTATTGCAGCAGGAAAATGGAGCAAGAGTGTAGAAGCAGGACAGGGAAGGAGCAAGATCTCTGTGATCTGAGCAGACAGGATAAGGAAAAGTCCTGGAGCCCTCGGTGGCTTTTGCAGGCTTTTATTGGGATTTACCAGGTACGAGGCAGGCAGGGGTGCTGGGGTGGCCCGGGAGGCTGGCAGGCCTCCCGGGCCACCCCAGCAAGACTTCACTCTTTCTGGGCTCTCCGGTGGTCTCTGGCAGTCTCTGGTGGTCTCTGCTTCTCTTTCGCTCTTATTCTCTCTGCTTCTGCTGGCGTCCCCATGATGCTGCTCTTAAAAGCCCAGTCTTAGCCCAGGTAAGACTTATGCATGCCCACACCCTACTCCAGGTGCCCGCCATCAGTCATGCATTCAGGTCCACAAGGATCCATCATCAATCCTAATGGCGGGAGGACAGAAAAGCCTGATACTTTTTTATTTTTTAAAGATTTATTTATTTATTTATTTATTTATTTATTTATTTATTTTTATTTATTTATTTATTTATTTATTTATTTATACAAGCACTGGGGTATAGTCAGAACCGTGGGAGGGTGAGAGAATTCACCAGAGCCAGAGCGGAGAGTAGAACAGGCAGACTGACAAAGTGCACTGCTGAGGGGAGCAGCGGGCGGCAGGAGAGGTCTGCGTGCTGTGTAGGACCCTCGCCCAGTGGCCCGGGATCGAACTGGCGCTGCAGAGGCTGCGGGCAGCTTCGCAGCCTAGCGCTCCACCGCTGTGCCACCGGAGAGGCCCAAGCCTGATACTTTTTATTTACCCTACAAAGAGCAATGAGAAGTTGAAGATATTGTTGAAAGAACTGAAGACACTGGTGAAGTGCTTAACAAAAGCGAGATGGAAAAGGAGGCTAAACCAGAGGAAAATTAATAATGCATGGAGTGAAGGTGTAGGGTAAGGTAAAAGGTATCAGGCTTTTCTGCCCTCCCGCCATCAGGATAGATGAGGGAACCCTGTGATCCTGAATGCATGCCTGATGGCTGGCACCTGAAGTGGGTACACCCGTGGTAAGACTGTGCTTTTAAGGGTGGCGTCACAGGGACGCCAGAAGCCAAGAAGCCGAAGCAGAAGCCGAAAGAGAAGTCCGAAGCAGAAGCAGAAAACGCCAGAGAGCCCAGATAGAGTGAAGATTTGCTGGGGGCTGGGAGGACTGCCAGCCTCCCAGCCCCCCAGCACCCCTGCCTGCCACGTACCCGCTGAACCCCAATAAAAGACCTGCAAAAAACCACTGAGGACTCTGACTCCTCCTTTGCCCGGTCTGCATGGGATCAGAAAACCTGCTCTGCCCTTTACAGAAGGGATAGGATTTCTGTCACAGTTCTGTTGGTGAAGCTTGTATAATTGTAGCAGTGAGCTTATGGCACTCAGTGTGGCTTAAGATTGTACAGGTAGAGTAACTCTACGTAATAATAAAGGAGAAGGGATGGGTGGTTCAGACCTGCATGGCGATGAAGGTCATAAAGAAGCTACGGTAACTGGATTTTGGATGAAACATGAATATTGAAGAGAACAGGCTTATAGCAGACTGAGGGGAGAGAAAAATCAGATGCCATGTTCAAACTTCTGAAACGCATCATGGAGTGATGAGAACAAGGGATGGAGGATAATAAATTGGAGAGACATGCATTATTTCAAATGAAGAATTTTTACTGACCAAACATTTGAGGAATGTTGAATGAGCAAGTGCTGATAGGTAGGTGTAGGGTAAGGTAAAAAGTATCAGGCTTTTCTGCCCTCCCGCCATTAGGATAGATGACGGAACCCTGCGGTTCTGAATGCATGCCTGATGGCGGGCACCTGGGATAGGTTGTGGGCATAGGTAGATGGGCTTCACCTGGACTAAGACTGAGCTTTTAAGGGCAGTGTCACAGGGATGCCAGCAGAAGCCGAGAGAGAAGCAGAGAGAGCCATGAGAAGAGAAGAGAGAATGTGAGAGAAGGTCGGAGAGTCCAGAGTGAAGACTTGCTGGGGGCTGGGAGGCCTCCTAGACCCCAGCGCCCCTGCCTGCTGTGTACCTGGTAAATCTAAATTAAAAACCTGAAAAGCCACTGAGGACTCTGACTCCTCCTTTACCTGGTCTGCTGGATCAGAAAATCTGCCCTGTGTCCATTCCTGCCCTTACAGTAGGTGACCTATGTATAGCAAGTTCTAAGTGCTTTACATTTACTAGGCTCATTTAATTCTCATCTGTGAGGTAAGTACTATTTTTATTCCTGACTTTACCAGTGTTAAAATTGAAGCTCAGAGACATGTATGCCTGGCTCAAGGTGCATGGCCATGACTGCAGTCCAGGCAGGTAGGCGCCAGAGGACGCGCTCTTACCCACGTCACTGTCCTGCTGATTCTGTGGGACAGGCCCAGCCAGCCCTGAAGGCAAGTAGGAAGCTCAAGAACAAAAAGCCTCCACACCGGTGTGTAGCGAGGAGGTAGTGCCTAGTGGAGGCATTCAAAAGTAGCGAAACATGACTGGTCCTTGCTAGTGTCAACTCCTTTCTGTTTTCTAGTCTATTTTATTTAGTACTTAAATATAATAGCATGCCTTTGAACTATGAGTTAATATGCAAACTGCCCCAGGCTTTCCTAGAAGAGGGTGTGGTATACTTTTAAAATAAATGGTTACATTAATTATTAACTGTGAGTACTCAGTTTCATAAAGGAATTAATTTGCATCTGTCAAAGAACTTATGCACATTTTGACTGTGAATGACAAAAAGAAACTACAGCATGCAATTTTGAAAAATACATAGTTCTGGTTTTTTTCCTCTGGTCTTTCTAATTTTTCCGGGAAATCAGTTATTTAGAATTCTTGATTGCCTGATAGAAGATATTTTCCTTGTTTTTCTTTTTCCTTTTTGTAAGCTACCAGACACTGTCTTAAAAACCAAGAGGTCAAGAAGGTTAGAAATAGGGCCTCCCCGGGTGGCACAGCATTTGAGCACTGGGTTGTGAAGCTGCCCGCAGCCTCTGCAGCGCCGGTTCGATCCCTGGCTGCTCCCCGGCCACCAGAAGAGGGTCCCACATGGCACGCAGACCTCTCCTACCGCCCGCTGCTCCCCTCAGCAGTGTGCGTCGGTCCTTCTGCCTGCTCTGCTCCCCGCTCTGGCTCTGGTGAATTCTCTCACCCTCCCGCGCTTCTGACTGTACCCAGTACTTGTATAAATAAATAAAATAAATAAATAAATCTTAAAAAAAAAAGAATGTTAGAAATAAAACAAGGAAAATTAAAGGCATAAATATTGGGAAGAAAGAAGTAAAATTGTCTTTGTTCACAGATGAGTTTATTTACAAATCTGAATGAACCAAAAAAGATCCTGGAATTAGCAATTATAGCAAGATTGTAGTATACAGAATGTAAGATTAATATATAAAAGTCAATCATGTTTCTATATATTTTTAAGAATGCTTGACTATGCTTTGGTCAATGACAGACCATATATACAACAATGACCCCCATAGGCAATACCATAAAGCTTAGGTATATAATATGCTATGCCATATAGCTTTTTGTAATTATACTCTATGACATTTGCACAATAGGAAATCATGTAACACCACCTTTCTCAGAACATTTCCCATCAAATGACACATGAGACTGTACTAGAAATAAACAAGTAGAATTTGAAATAAAAACCACATATCATTCACATTAGCATGTAAAAAAATGAAATCATTAGGTATAAATCTCGCAAACTGTATAAAAGATCGGTGTGAGAAAAACTACATAACTGTGATTGTGGAAATCACAGAACTAAATAAATAGATTCCATTTTCAGAAACAGAGAGACATACAGTTGTCAAGATATCAAGTTTTCCCCACTTGACAGATGGAGTCAAAGCAATCCCAATCAAAATCTAAACAGGTTATTTTATGACTATCAAAAATTGAATCTGAAGTTTATATGGAAAGATCAAAGACCTAGAAAAACTAACACAATATTGAAGTAGAACAATAAATTTGAACAACTGACATCCTATTTCAAAACTTACTATAAAGCTATAATAATCAAGACAGTATAGAATGTTCTAAAATGTAAACAAACCAATGGAACAGAATATAATCAAAACAAAGGGTCAGACAAAATGAAACCAGTAAGAAACTCTAGACATCTTACTGTAGAATTGATGCTAACAGAGAGGAAAAGGGATATTGGAAAGCAAAGTACGGAGGGGCCAATTGACTATAGGGAAGGACTATGGGTTCTTTGGTGGTGGATGTGTTGTGGTAACATATACCTGAAGGGTTGTGATCCTGTACCTCTGAATTATATATAGTTTTTGTAAACCAATGTTATCTATATTTAAAAAACAATAAGAAAACAAAAATAAATAAGTAAAACTGTTCTGTGAAAGACACTGTCTAGAGAATGAGGCAACAAACACAGATTGGGAGAAAATATTTGTAAAAGACTTATCTGATAAAGGACTGTTAGACAAGATATGCAAAGGTTATATGGAAACCCTCTGTACTTTTTTCTCAGTTTTATTATGAAACTAAAACTACCCTGAAAATAAAGTTCATTTCTCCTCTATTTTAAAAGTTATTTTACTAGGAATATCTATAGGCTGAAAGTTGTAGCACTTTAATTATTCTATTTTTGCTACAGAAAAAAAATCAACTGCCAGTTTGGAAATCCTTTCATTGTAATTTGTCTTCTCTTTTTGGCTTCTTTTGTCTTTGATATTCTGCAGTGTCACCATGTTGTATCTAGGTATATGTTTCTTTTTAGTTACCTTGTTTGGGGTTCACTAGGTTTCATGTTTCAGAGTGTTTTTCTTTCATTCATTATGGAAATTGGTAAACTTCTATCTCTGAGTAATTTCTTTCCCCTTTCTCATGTCCCCTTTAGCTGTAAATGAAAGATGAAACTCATATTATTTTCAAAAATAGGCTTCATAGAGATTCTTCATCTTTATTAAAAGCCAAAAAATACATATTATGTTAAGAGTTTGGTAGGATAATAAAATCTGTTATTGTCAGGGATCTCATTTTGCTTAGAACTTGCAATTGCAAGGAGTATGGACAAGCGGTGATCCTTCTGTATATTAAAATAACAGTGGCAAAGGTCAATCACTGCCTTTGCCTTAGTCACCTTAAGCAAGAAAAACCAAGCAGCAGTTTTAAGCAGGCTGGACAGATTGGAGGGGAGTAAGGATGCACTTTGTGCATATTCTGTTAGGAATACATATTCTTTTAGGAGGGCCTTGAACTTAGAATCTACCTGAACCATGATCTTCATGAATTGTCTTTTGTTGTAAAAGGTCAGTTGGTTAAGAGTTTGAGTGAATACATTAACACATTATGATGTTTTAAATTGTGAATGTATTGGTGGGATTTGTGCCAACTTGACTTTTGGCCCTATGGCTGCTAAGTTTTCAACTTCATTGCAATATTGAAATTTGAGGTCATCTAGTCCCCTTGGTCATGGAAATGTGTTATGGTGGAAACCAATCAGTATCACCTGCAGATTTTGTATATAGTTATTTGAACTTTGTATGTAGTTATTCTAAACTGATAGTTGATTTTTCAATAGCAATAATGGAATAATAATCAAAAATTTTAACAAATGTATAAAAAGTTCCCAGGGCTGCCAGTATATGACATGCATATAAAGCCGATGTACAACTTACTTCCATCATTTGATTTTTAAGAAGTCTCCTCTTCACCCCTTATTAAAAGACAAGACTATTAATCTGTTCATTATAGGCCACAGTAAATTCAGTAAAAACAGGGAAATGGTTGATAAAACTAATTGATAGCTGGTGAAGTTCTTTTTCTGGAAATGTTTGAAAGATAGTTTATCAGAGAAAATATTCAGATATCTCTGCTTCAGTATATTTCTTAACACCTGGTAATAGTGTTCAGTACAACTACATACTTTTTTGCTGGAGTACCTGGCAGAATAATAAAATCTGTTATTGTCAGGGATCTCATTTTGCTTAGAACTTGTAATTGCAAGAAGTATGGACAAACGGTGATCCTTCTGTATATTAAAATAACAGTAGCAAAGGTCAATCACTGTCTTTGCCTTAGTCACCTTAAGCAAGAAAAACCAAACACCAGTTTTAAGCAGGCTGGACAGGATTGGAGGGGAGTAAGGATGCACTTTGGTTAGAAGGAACAGCTTGGAGAACTAATCTCCTGCCAACTCCATGTGAGTTGATTCCTGCTCTCACAGCACTTGCTTTGGTCATAAAGAGGATCAAGAAGAGGGGTGGCCCTAGAAAACAACAAACAAATCAAATGTTTCTGCAGCTTAGTACAGCAATTATTTCAGTTTGTATGTTGTAGACACTGATTGTGCTGGGCATTAGGACAAGGAAGGAAAGAAGCAAAGCTCCCTCGCCCTATGTGCATATAAACCAATGCAGGTGTAGAAATCAATTCAAAAGACACTCTAGATCACACACTATGATATGAGTTGACTGCACCTTGTGTGAGCCAGATTCACCACACCCTGATAAAAAGATGAGGCTGGCATTGCCATGACACAGAAAGCTCCATTGTGAGGCTCTGGCACTTGAGAGTAGGTGTGCCTCAGACCTGACTGGATTCTCGGAGCACGGGGTGAGGGAGCTGGAAATGCTTTTCTAGGGAGTCTGTAGTGATGAGGCAGCCGCCAGTCATCAGTCTATAAAAAACAAAGAATCTTTGATTGCAGTGCCAGCCTTACGGCCATACTGATTAGTGCTTCTTCAGCTCAGCTCACCAGCTCAGATTCACTGGTCTCATTGTCAACAAGCAGAGGAGGGATCTCCTGAGAAAGGATTGCTTTCCCCCCAGCAGAAGAGATCTTAGAAGCAGGTTATGCTCTTTTATTTCTGTTTGCACTAAGAATAACAAGGCAGTATAGTTCCGTGAACATGTCAAAAACAGAACTTCAAATGTGGGATTAGAGAGCTGACCTATTAATATTCCAATTAAACTAAATTATAAGTAGATACCTTCTTATCCATAAAATCTGTTTTTCCCCATTTCCTGGCTTTAAATTATATATATATATATATATATATATATATATATATTTCAGATTGATATCCACATGAATGGAGAACATGTTGAAACCTTTCATGAAGATCTTACCTTCACAGCGGACACACTGGCCTCACCAGTCTTACCCAAGATAGAAGATGACCTAAAAGGTATGTTCCTTTTTCTACCTGGTATTTTCTACCAAACAGTTATTCTCTCCATTCTTCATTACGTATTATTTTCACAACATTTTCATTACTGATTTTTAGTGTATAAAAAATGACATTTTGGCAGGAAACACCATGTGGGTTATCTGAGGTCAGGGTAAGACCTGGGTGTGGCATACTGGACAAAGTGGGGGTTCACTCGTAAAGAACAAATAGATCAAGTTTCATGGAGAAGGGATGAGCCTGCGATTCCACATAGTCTTTGATGGCAGCAGCATCAAAGTGAATATCAAGGCTGTGTGTAAGTCAAGGCTGGGCCTGCACAAGTGGAAGGCTAGCTTTAGGTTGGGTTTGGAAGGATAAGTTTTCAGAGAAAGGATTTTATCCTAGCTGAGGGGAGATTAACACTCTAGGGGCGGTAGGAAGGGTACACAAAGGATGGTCATTGTTATGGAAAATAGTCATGAATGGAATATTTGAATAATATAGAGAAGGAAAATTTGGGGGAGCTCTCAGCTCCACACATCTACACAATCTGCTCAGACTTCTGTCTGCATTTGATCAACTTCCAACATTTGATCAACTTCCTTTGCACTTTCCAGATTGCGAAATATCTCTGAGAATTCCTTTAATGTGAAGGTTTGCTTTTAGCTGGATTATTTTCTCATGACGTCTTCATCCTTTTAGTCACACTTTCCTCATTTTTATCAGTGCCTTCACAAATTTCTACTGGCTGTACCTAGAGTCTTCCAAAAGTCCAGTGACAACTTTCCCACCTCAGCTTCTATAATTCCGCTTGTGATTGATTCAAAAGTTACTTCTCATCTTACCATGCCTCATAAATGGTGTGTTCCTAAAAGCCTAGAGACACATATCCAAACTTGAGGGCTGATAAAAGATTCCTCCAGAAAGGGATCGTCTAATCTGGACCAGTTGTTACAGGGTGTCAACCCCAGAGAATGGGTCCTTTGTGCTCTAAGGAAAGGATCCACCAGAAAGTGCTAGGTGTGGTTGAACCAGGCAAGGTTTTGTTAGAGAGACTGAGGCAGGAGGGAGCCAGAAAGGAGAATATAAACTGGCTGTAGGGAGGGAGTTAGGAGTGTATAGAGGGTAAGTCCAGGAGGTCAGAAGGAGGGCAACATCATATAAATAGCTTGCTCTGGGCTGGGCTACCCCGGACATGCACAGATGGGTTTCATTCCATCTAAGCCCTTGGTCTCTGCCTTCTCCCTCCAGGAGATTGTGAGCTAATCATTAGTCAGGATCTGATGCTTTTTTTTTTTAAAGATTGATATATTTATGCATACAAGAACTGGGGTGGGGGCCTCCCTGGTGGTGCAAGGGGTTAAGATGCAACCTATGAAGCTAACCACAGCCACCAGAGCACGAGTTCGATCCCAGGCCAGGGAGCAACCCACATGGCACAGCAGACCTCTCCTGTCTCCCCCACTGCTCCCCTCAGCAGTGTATTTCAGTCAGTTTGCCTGTTCTGTTCCCCGCTCTGTCTCTGGTGGATCCTCTCACCGCCTGCACCTCTGTCCTGTACCCCAGTTCTTGTATGCATAAATAAATAAACCTTAAAAAACTGGGATATATGGGGCCTCCCCGGTGGCGCAGCGGTTGAGTGCTGGGTTGCGAAGCTGCCCACAGCCTCTGCGGCGCTGGTTCAATCCCCGGCTGCTCCCCGGCCACTGGAAGAGGGTCCCACATGGCGCACAGACCTCTCCTGCCGCCCGCTGCTCCCCTCAGCAGTGTACTTCGGTCCTTCTGCCTGCTCTGCTCCCTGCTCTGGCGAATTCTCTCACCCTCCAGCGCCTCTGACTGTACCCAGTGCTCATATAAATAAATAAATAAATCTTTAAAAAAAAAAAAAAAAACTGGGATATATGCCAGAGGTGGGGGCGGGGGTGAGAGAATTCACCAGAGACAGAGTGGGGAACAGAACGAGACAGGAGAGGTCTGCTGTGCCATGTGGGTTAGCTCCCTGGCCAGCCGGGTATTGAACTCATGTTGCAGTGGCTGGCAGTAGCTTAATAGCACTGTCTTAAACCTCTGCGCCACCAGGGAGGCCCCAGATCTGATGCTTTTTATCCATCAAGGTGCCTCCTGGACAGGGTGGTGGCCAAAGTGCCAGGACAGGGCTCGCCAGTCCCTGATGCAATCCCCCATTCAAACAGGACTGGGGCAGCGCATCCTACTGGCTTGCACTTGCTTTTACCCGGCTGCCTCACGCCAGCCTGCTCTCTGTAGCTCCCGCGTCAGAACACCACATTCCATGCAACCGTGTTTAATGGGTTCGTATAATTCCTCCATCTCTCCCTGGTAGACCTGCCAGCGGGTTCCCTGACATATCGCCTAGAAGATCTGGCCTACACGAGGAGCGGGGACAAAGGCAACTCCGCAAATATAGGTATGGTCTGGCTTATAAAGCCACTTTTCGCATTGATTTCAGTCATTTCATAAGTTATCACTGGATTCAAACAGTTGTTTGTTCACTGTATTTTTTTTTAAAGATTTATTTTATTTATTTATACAAGCACTGGGCACAGTCAGAAGCGCGGGAGGGTGAGAGAATTCACCAGAGCCAGAGCAGGGAGCAGAGCAGGCAGACTGACAAAGTACACTGCTGAGGGGAGCAGCGGGCACGGCAGGAGAGGTCTGCGCGCCGTGTGGGACCCTCGCCTGGTGGCCAGGGATTGAACTGGTGCTGCAGAGGCTGCGGGCAGCCTCGTAGCCCAGCACTCAACTGCTGCGGAGGGGGGTGGGGGGGTGGGAGGGGTGGGGGACCTGTTCACTGTATTGGTTAAGTTATATTAATTTTTCCAGTGCTACCAAGCTAGGTTTTTTACTGACATATATAAAGATATGTTTCAGATAACCTGTGATCCTCAACATAATAATGCATTGTAGCAAAAAACAAGTATGTTAAACTTATTCAGGACCAGAAAACCTACTCCTATTTCATAGTATTCAAATTTAGTTATTCTCTGCATTGACCTTTTGCCTTTTAATCTTCTGTTTCCCTAATCTCTAAGTACTATTTCTTTACTGGTATTGCCATGTTCTAACTTTTGCCACTTTATTTAAATATATTTTAAAAATATTTCTTCACCTCTTAAAATTCCTTTCTTTTTCTTTTACCCTCCCCAAATTGCTACATTATTTCCTTCTCTTCTTAGAACTCTCCTGGTTCTTTCTCTTTTTTAACTTCATGGAATGCCATCCACTCATCTCTTTTTTGATATCTGCAAAATCATCAGACTATCTTCTAATAGGCACCATTAGGTATAAAAAATAATATAGAAAAATCAAAATATACGTACATCTCTATCATGCAGTGAGTTTGAAAACTGCAAGGAGTTCATGTGTGTGCACGGGCTCTTGTGAAAGTTGCCAGAATCTGAATCATTTAAACAATGGCTCCTTTGACACTTCCTGTACCCAGCAGGCAATCTGGATGACAGCCACAGCCAGCTTGCGTCCTTGCGCTTCAACATTACCTGCCGTATTAGCTGAGCTGTTTGTGCTAAAGTGATTAAAGGCAATGGATTTGCCAGCCTTTCATTCCTTGTGATAAGAGAGTTTGCATTCTCAAAAAATTGAAGGCACTTATATCTATTATTTTTTACTAAAAATATATTTAGCCCTACCATTTTCTAGAATATTAGTTGTGGGTGGGAATAGAATAGTGGCCTCTGAAATGTGTAGTTTTGAGGTTAACATCCTAGTATTCTTCATTTGATTTGTGTTGCTCTTCTATCCCCTCTTTGCAAGTTGTAGTTATATGACCTGTGCTTCGTTTCAAAAATTAAAGGAATGAAATACCATAATACCCCTTGAGATCATTAGAATTACAGAACATCTTATTAAATTTGCATTTTGGATGATCAATGAATGATTTTTAGTGTGAGTATGTCTCATGCAATTTTTAATAGACTTACCTACATCTGATACCCCCCTCCATTAGAGAAACTGTGGTTATTACCAGAGCAGGGACAATGATACTCATAACCAAGAGATTCACTTTGATGGCAGCTCTTTGTCCACTGTATCTCCCCATGTCCCCCACCTCTCCCCTTTCCATCTGATACACAGTATCCTTACAGAATCAGACTAAGATACTTTAAATTAGCTGGTCATCTTGATTACTCTTTAGTATATGTGCTGATTAATGTAATGCTTTGTATACAATAGGTATCATAGCACGGCACCCTCTTTACTACCCATACTTAAAAAAATGCCTAACTGCTCAAGCTGTAGAAGATTACTTCCAGCATATTCTGCAGAAAGATCAACGGGCAGGGACCTCAGTAATAAGGTATGGCTCAACTTAAGAGGATGAATGGCGACATTTATATTGTGGGCTTAAAAAAAAAAGAGTGTATTGATATCAATTAGGAGATCAATAGCCTTTATTTTGTAAAATAGTACTTTAATCTTCTGTTGACATTTTGGGAGATACAAAAAGTAAAAACATGTCATATCCTTTGACATGAACTTGTGGTCTGGTTAAATTGACCTTGTACGCTTGCTAAATTGACATCATTTGGAACATCTAAGAGGCAACAGAAGATCTTAATAAAGTGGGTGCCCCAAACGCTAAACCTGCGAGGTGGGAGTAGCTTGGGGAAAAATGGGTGGGAAGTATATTGACTTTTTAGCTATTGCCTCGGTGTTAGAAATCTTAATTTAACTGAATTATATGCTAGAGAAGATTTACTAGTGAAATGTTAAGTCTCTTTTGGTTGCTCATACCAAATGAAATGTAAGTAGTCTCATTTTCTTAAAATTAAAGTGTTTTTAAAGAATGTAAGAAGTATATTCAAGGTATTGTATGTAAAATTTTAAACTCTAAATTACAGATGTATTACTTGATATGATCCTGTTATGTTTTCTTTAAATATGATTAACATTCTTTAAACAGTTTACTGTTTCATTGCTATTTAATGTCTATTTGTTTTCTGCTAGAAATTCATCTAAACAGTTTAATCTAAGACTAGAGGATTGATACAAATAATTAGATGAAGTTATTTACCAGCCAAAATCAGCGATCCAAACATTCTAAGCTTACTGTTGCATCATTAAATGCTACTATTTCTAGAGAGTCTTTTTTTTACTCCGATTTTGGAATATAGTCCTACTTAAACATATGACAAGTTTTCTTTGTTTTAGTTCATTAGTGTTTTATGTCTGACTAAAAACAACCATGAGCCTATACATTATTTTTGGCATCCCTTCCCCTCCAGATAAAGACATTTATCCCTCCTCCATCTCTTAGGTGGGTCTTGTGAAATGCCTTGACCTATTTTAAGATTTTGGAAGTAGCAGATCAATATATATTGGGGCTGGAAAGCATGCTATACTGTTATCAAACACAATTAGAAGGCAAGACACTACAATTCAAAGGCTTATGCAAAAGATTTGCAAAGACAGATGACCCTTGGTGTTTTTAGTGAGAAGACTGAAATTGTCTGGGGATATAACTGAAGAATCACTAGGGCAAGGCTTAATTGAGTGTCAGAGCCAATAGACTGGGGTCAAAATGGGGCAAAGCTATTGGCAGGTTGAAACCCATTGACTTAGCCATACAGGACAGGCTCAGAAAAAGCTGAGGTCATGATCAAATGGGGTAGAAAGGCATACAGAGAATTTAAGGAACATTAATTAGATTAAGCAGAAACTGAGATCTAGCTCTGTGATAGTACTGAGTATCAGTTCACATCTGTTCCATGAGATATCAACTCAGATCCTTACTCACTCTTAGCAAGTACGAGTCTTCCACAGACAGATCTACTATGTCAATGTGTCCAGGAACTTTTTTGTTGGGGCACATCAGCAGCTATATTTTCAAACTCCCAAACTCGAGCCATGGGATATCCGTGCTCTGCTGAAGCTATCTGGGTGTGGAGGCAAAGCCATCTGATTTCCTTTTAGCCTCCTTTGTGGGGCTTTTACTGTAGACGTTCCCAACCCCCACATCCTGGGCAGTGTGCCAGGCTTATAAAACCCGTCTTTGGATCGGGGTTTAGACATATATTACCTATAAAAATGTCTCTGAATTGCAAATTATTCAGAGATCCTGTGCAACTGTATTTGGCCCTAAAATTCTCTATGTTCTTAGCAGTTGCCCTACTGGAAATAAATCTCTGGAGGTGACTTGTTTGTAAATAGTCTCAATCAATGGGAGAAATATCTAGGAATATTTCTTTTGTTGTCTCCTTATCAAAGCTTTGAAAGCCGCTGAACTTTGATCTTAGGTTCTAAGGGTTATTGAGAAAGGCAGGGTGCCCGTGTGATTCAGTTCTTCTGTGTGGTCGTGCGACAAGCTAAGGGATTCTCAACCTAGGGCATGTGGAAATTTGTGGGGGTGTTTTTGGTTATCAAAAAGACAGGGGTGCAATCCCAGTACTGAGTGGCAGGAGCTGTGACACTGACCTTCCTGCCGTGCACAGTCAGTCTTGTCTTGCTAAGTCAAGAGCTGCCCTGCACGGGACTCTCGTTGATGCTGGTGTTTTTCCCACTAGTCTTGGCCCCTGCTCTTCTTAAAACCATGCAGTTACTGGGGCCTCCCCGGTGGCGCAGCGGTTGAGCGCTGGGTTGCGAAGCTGCCTGCAGCCTCTGCCGAGCCGGTTCGATCCCCGGCTGCTCCCCGACCACCCGAGGAGGGTCCCACATGGCGCGCAGACCTCTCCTGCCGCCCGCTGCTCCCCTCAGCAATGTACTTCAGTCCTTCTGCCTGCTCTGCTCCCCGCTCTGGCTCTGGTGAATTCTCTCACCCTCCCGCGCTTCTGACTGTACCCAGTGCTTGTATGTATGTATGTATGTATGTATGTATGTATGTATGTATAAATAAATAAATAAATAAATAAATAAATAAGCAGTTACTGCCTTAACTCCATATTCTTACTTCCTCAGCTCCATATTCTTACTTCCTCAGACTCTTCATATCATTCAGCAAACACTTGATCAGTTCTTCCTCTACCCCTTGCTGTTCTCCAGCCTGTGCCCACACTGATCCCCTCCTCCCTTCTCAGGTAAGAAAGTCCTAGTCACCTTTCTAAGGATAAAAATGGCTCCACCCAAGGTTTAGGTTCTGTACCACTTCATCCCACCCACGGTCCCCTGCCCTCCCCCCTCCCCATCCATCTAAACTCTGTCTCTTCATCTTGTCAGATCCATCTTCCCCTGAGAAAAATGTTTGAGTTTTCCCTTCTCAAATGTCAAATAAAAAAAAAAAATCTCAAACCTGCTACTCCCTCAAATTAACATTCCATCCCATTGCTTCCCTGCAGTCACTGCCTGTTTCTTTCACATCTACTGGCTCCTAAAATCCTTATAATCTGAGCTCCACGCCCCTAATTCTGCACTTCTGCTTTCCTCAAGGACCAACTGCTAGACCACTCATTCTTCACGTTCCTTGCATTTCTCTGCAAAACTGAATCCTTGATCAACTCCTTGTTAAATACCATTCCGCCTCCCTTTGTTCGGTTTGCCTCAGAGTTGCCAAGAAGGTAAGGACCAACTACACCCTATGAGCTTCTTCATTTCCCTGAGTCTATTTTAGGTTTTCCTTATCAGCTTGTGTCCAGGATTCTGGCTCTTCCATCTTTGGGGCTGCTTTTCCTCATCCTTCTCCCATGTTCTGGATGCAGGCATTAGCTGCCCTCCGCTCACTCCTTCTCAGCTAAATGGATGAGCTGCCACACACCTGCAGTCCTAGCTAGCCAGACCCTCCCTTGAACTCCACACCAGACTGCCAGCTGCCTCGCACAAAAGTCCACCCATGTGATCTGCTACCACTCCCTAAGCTTAACAAAATAAAATCTAAAACATTTGGGTGTATTTCTTTCATAGCACTGTAAGTTTAATGATGACTATTGTATGTGAGAACTCCTTGTAGCCAAGAGTTGTTTTATTGTTTTGTTTGCCCCGGCGCCTAGAACTTTAAAAATGCTCATTTGGCAATAAAGAAATTGATGACTGAATGAAGATTGAAACTCCTTGAGAAAATAGTCTTTCATATCTGTGATTCGGTGGCTAGTACAGTGCCTGGCACACAGTAGGTACTAGACAAACATTTTTTGAGTGGATCTGTCTTCTTCCACAACCAGCTCCTTTTAATTTTGTTCCCATCACTGTCAATAATACTTCCATTTTGCTAGTCAAGCTGCAAACCTTAATCTTGTCTGATTCCTCCATGGTCACCAAATCCAATGAGCCACTAAGCTTGGAAAGCCTCCTCCAAAGATTCCAAATAAAGAAGTGATATCACCAAGGCAGTGACATAAGTTGTTCAAGAGCTGGCTCCTTCTCACAAGAACAGCTAACAACTTATTCACGAAGATGTCACTGAGAGAACTGCAGATCAAGAGGGTGAGAGTAACCCCTGTCCTCTACACCACAGAGACCTAGACAGACTCATTTCCAGGGCAAGGGGAGTGGCTACTAGTCCGCCCAGCCCAGTGCAGCACCAGCTCCAGTTACTCCAGTTGGAGAAGAGAACTTGGAAACAATCAAGACCCATATCCAGCACTGGGGGGCCACTTTGTGGGAACCTCTACTCTGATCTTACCTTGCACAACTGTAGGGGAATCAACAACGAACACAAAGGCTTGGCGGGCCGAGATCACACCTGCAGCACCCGAGCAGCAGTCCTAACCAGCTGCTTTGCTCATGTGTAGAGACAAGTCAAGAGCATACCCTGACCAGGAACTCGGGTGATAGAGATCTACCTGATTCAGATCCTTAGATGAGTTTTGCTGACTCTAGAGCCAGGTTTACCCACACCCGTCAAGGAGTTGAGTCACAGCCCCACCCGCTTTGGAGCTTTGGCTCCAGCTGACCAGAGAGGTTGGCTGGAGTACATGGAAACTAGGCAGCCCAGCAACACTAGCGCCAACAGGCAGACAGGTAAAGCTGACCGTGGAAGAGAAAAGCCAGTATCAGATGTGCCTCCCAGGCAGGAAATTAAATCATAACCAAAGCTGAGGGTAGAGACAGCACCTCCAATTAGAGAGCCTATGTGGGGACAGTGAGAGTTGCCTGGAGGGGCCTCTTCCCTTTCTGCCTACTCAGGAGAGCTAAGATCTAGCCCTGTATTCTGTGTCTCCCACCCTGTCTGACAGACTGGTAAGAACATGTGGTAGCTAGACAGCCCAGTGGTGCTAAGCTGAGAGAAAGACAAGCAAAGCCGGTAGTTCACAGAGCAAAGCCAGTGGATATGTTTGGCCCCAAGGTCAGCCTGTGACTTCTGTCTGTAGAGCACAGTGGGTCTCTGCACCTGACTATGGAATTCAGTGCACGTCCCTGCCTGATTAG